CCTTCAAATTTGCAGTTAACCTTACGCTGGAGACAATTGTTGCAGGGACAGATGCCGGAACACTTGATTTTGTGCTGCCGACACCGCGAGCAACTGTTTCCTGTTAGTGTAGCCGGTTTAGTATGTAGAGGAATCACTCACGCATTGACCACTCTTTTCTTTTCTGTGACCCTGCCCATCTTGTCAGCGAGGTTGCCAGTAATTACATGCAAGAAAGGGGGTGAGTCGTGCCCATGAAGAACAACTTTTGACTCGCATACACAATGTCCCCCCAGAACCCCGCATTTCATGCGATTAGTCATTATCTGGCTAAAGCTCGCGTATCTACAACCACCCGATGATTACCAGTTATCCTGATCCAACCATGTTTGTCTTGTTAAAACGCTTATCACTTGCGGAGAACCTCGGACCCCTATCCGAAAGGAGTCTTGTTACTTTTCTCGATAGGGAAGCATGAATGAGTGGTCCATTTCCTTACTATCTAGACCTGTATCTGCCTACGCCTTGTCTTACCATCTAAAATTGCGTGGCGACATCTTATTCTTAGACCTTTTTCTGTAATGAAGGGGCCTTGACTCTTTCAAGAAGATAAGTGGATGTATGGATATAGGGACTTGCCAATTAATTATTGTAGAGAGCATTGTCACTCCCATCCTTTCTGGCAATTTTGATTTTTACCTGTCTTTGTTTTGTTTACGAAGGATATAATATCGAATTCATTTATCTCGAGAAAATGTATCGGAGCGACCGTTGCTAATATTAGAAGGTTCGGTACATGGGCCCGAAGTGTAATGTCCTACTGTGGTATTAGTATGATAATACACTACATGTTCAAAAGTCTCGGGGCACCCGCCTCCCGCCCTACCAAATAACTCTATTCATACTCAATAATTCTACGGGCCTCTCTATATACAGAAGATCTTTGGTATCAATCTTTATAAGGGTGAATGTAATGAGATAGTGTGAAGGATATCTTTATCGCGAAGTACGAATGTAGGGTTGTATTTCCTTAAAGTATTGTTGCTAACTATCCTATTCTCTGCCCGCGAATAGAGAGAGTATTATTCACGGGTAGCCCATGGGTCACGTGACTGTCCATGCTAGCCAAGCCTCGCGACGGGACTTGTGATGGCAGCCTCATTCAGGACCTTGTTCAGGATCATGTGATTATATTTATTTTATTTACTTTACTATTATTTTCTTTAAATAAATATCTATAATACTTCTTATTTTCCTTTTTCCCTCCTTACGCTTAAAGTTTTAGAGTAATTAGTACTAATATAACCTTATTTTATTATATTAAATGACTATCTTATAATTTTAAATATTATTTGTTATTTTTTTTTATTATTATATATAGCCAGCTCTTACTAAGCCATCAATAGTCTCTATCCCATATTTTTAATAATGTTTAATAGCCAAAAAACCCACTTAACTAAATAATTAAATAAATAAATAAAATAGCTAGAAAAAGTGAGACGGCCGTTCAACGTAACAAAATGAGGTCATATTGGTACTAACTACTCTAGAACTTTAAGCGTAAGGAGGAAAAAAGGAAAACAAGAAGTATTATAAATACTTACTTAAAAAAAATAATAGTAAAATAAATAAAATAAATATAATTATATAATCCTGAATAAGGTCTTGAATAAGACTACCATCACACCATCCCTTTATTTAGATCTAATTATCCTTAGTTAGGGAAATATTATTATTATTATAATCTATAGTAAATTCGTTATTCTCCATGGCTATGATTTATATAAGGAGTTATTTAAGTAGTCTGGGATAGTCTGGATAACAGACATGAAAGTTATATAAATAAAAAAATATATTCTTAAAATTACTAATAGAATACTATTTATAGTTATTTTTATTAAAACCTACCTATTTAACATAATATTATAGAGTTCCTATTTATAGATAGCTCTTTAAAATTTATTCTATTTCCTACTCAGTATAGTTATCAATCTTAATTAAGGAAATCTAATCTAAGATCTATCTAAACAGCAGTTCTAGAGTACCACGAAGATAAAATTTATCAGGATAAAAGATAGGATAGACCTTTATATTATTAGGTAATTAAACTTAGAATGTATGACTAATTTTCTTAATAATAGTTATTAGGTTATATTAGCTTTCTAATAATTTTTAGGATAGTTATCTCCAATGCTAGTTTCTAGTATTTATATAAATCTTATTTCTAATATTAAAATCCACGGGTCGACACCGTTAGTTAGTTATATAGGTCTGAATTTATTAGGCAGTTTATATATCTTTTTTTACCAGCTTCTATATTTGTTCTATACAGCGGGCTAGGGCTCGGGCTTACTATTAATTAATAATATCCATGACAGAGGTCCGGGAAGGTGTCTAATTAAAAAAAATATAAAACTTATATTTTCACTCAATTATAAAGGATAATAGTTCCGTGGACTTCTAGAATAAGACTGTAAAAATAAAATTAATTAATAGTAGAAGTTTTAACCAATTATCTTAATAATAATTTATAAAAGAGATAAGCCTTTATACTATGTGTCACGGTGCAACCTCCCAAGCCAGGAAGAGAGGAATACTGCCGAGACTCACCGCCCCAGCACGTGACCCCAGACACAGTTAAAAGCCACCTGCTCCTTGAACCCCGTTCATAGCTTTAAGCTATGTTTTATCTATTACTCTATATATAGCTTGACTAGTAGCCAGCTTAGTATCTAGTTAAAATCTTAGTTATTATTATTACCTAAGTCTTATCTACTTATTAGAATCTACTATCCTACTACCCCTGCCTGTCTGTATCTTGACATTATGTAGCTCCTTCTTTAAAATAGTAGACTTATAAAATAACTACTATCTTGTAATCTCTAATCAATCTTAATAGATTTAATAAATTAGTCTAATATATTTCTGAATATTTTAGAGAATGGTACAACTATTATGAATATATCTTTATCTTTATAGTGGAGATTGTTGGTAAGTAAGACTACCTATAATAAGATCTTAATATATGAAATACGGTAACCGTGTACCAGGCCTAGTAAATTATAAAGATTAATTACTAGCTAATTAATATCCTAGCTATTAAAGAGATTATTATTAAGGAAAGAGACTAAGCTCTGGCTAAGTATATTAAAGCTATATAAATTATTATACTAGTGGTTAGCACTCCCATCCTAATTCTAGAACTTATTATTAAGAAATCTATAATTTCTCTAATAGGAGTAACTATATTAATTAATTTTAAATCTTCTATTTCTATCCTTTTTTTTGAATGATTATCTGATCTTAATAAGTTTAAAAGTAATTACTTGGATTTAGACTATTTCATCTCCTAAATTAAAATAAAAATAAATATTAATTATAATTATTATATTATTACTTCTATTTATAAAGCCTATATAATTAGTTAACTAGATAAGATTCCCTATACTTAAATCTAATTTTTTATGGAAGATGGCGACTGCATCTTGAATAATTTTATAAATATTTTAGATATATTTAAATATATTTTTAAGGATTTTAACCGCGCTTATAATACTTAGCAGGAACTACACCATTTATAATAAAAAAACTATAAATTTACTATATATTTTACTAAATTTAAGAGACTTATCTATGAAGCCTACCTGTACCTTAATTTCCTAATAATTACTCTAAAAAATAATATTAATTAAGAATTTAATACTATGTTTTTAAATAATATATCTCTAGAGGAAGATTACCGCGACTTAATCTAGTTTTTATAGAATCTAGATAATTATTAGTTAAGATATAAATCTAATTTCTAAAACCACCCATGGAGGCTGACCAATATTTAATATATTATATTTATAATTATTAAAGAAGTTCTATGGAAGTTTTCTATAGAAGTTCTTAATTAAAGATTAGTTATTCTAGACTATGTCTTTATAGATTTATTATTTATTTATTGCTTTTTTTTACGCTTTAAGACTATCTAAAAAGAGAGAGAAGAATATTTTTATTATAATTTTAATTAATATTTAATCCACGATTGCCCTAAACTTGATATCTTAGTTTAATGAATTAGTTATATATCTTATTTATTTTTACTGAGATAAATCCAGTCTTCTCTCTACTATTGATTACCGCCTGTACGAACTGAATCTTTAGTAAGAAAAATCCTGAATTTACTTAATTTAAGATCTTCTATACTAGTCCTGTAATTAAGAATAGTAATATTATTAGAATAACTATATTTCCCCAATCCTAGTGAGTAGTTAAAAGGACTATACCTAGTTTAAGTTACTATTAAAAAAATATTACTCTATGTATTTATACTATTTTTAATATTATTATTAAAGAGCTTCCTATTAAGGAAGAGCTCTAAAAAACTGACTTAATAGTTATATTTATTATATTAAACTCTAATAACTAGAGAATTATTATATACGTGATGTTTAACACTGGTTATTTAATATTATATATCATGGATAAGAACTGGATAAAAATTTATTATTTATTTTTATATTTTTTAAAGTATTCCAAGTCTATTATAGGATTTAATGGTTGAGAGAGTGAGGCTGAAATAATTACTTATTATATTTATATAATTTTAAAGATTTATGATTATATAGAAAAAAATACTCTATTCTTGATTATCTAGCTAGTCTATTTCTTGATTATACTCGGCCTACCCTGGTTAAAGATCTATAATCTCTAAATAAATTTTACTAAATATACTATCTAATTTACTAGTTTATATTACTTTTAGAATGTGCCTTTGGGTGCCGTCGAGGCCAAAAAGGGCATGCGGAGCGGCCGTTTCTGGCGTCGTCGGCCCCGGAAACTTCGCCAAGATGGGCAATCCGTGGGTGCTGCTTTTAGCCCGGACAGAGCGGCACCCGGACATGTACCTGTAATACCGTTATTTTACCCTCAGCCTGCCCAGTTCACCCCCACCCAGCTAGCTATGATCCCTGTCCTGCTGAGCCGTCCCCATCAGACGCGACCGGCTGAGGACGATAGAACCCTCAGCGGCGTCACAGCGACGAGGAGGGAAAGGAGCCCCGCTCTTAAACACCCATAGACCTTTCTTTTCATCCCGTCGCAGTATAGCAAGAGGCCAGGGGAGGAAGATAAATAGCCCTGTGCACGCCTGCTATTCTGTCACTATGATTCTATACTCTTCACTTCTCGCACCCAGCGCACGTCTTCCACAGGCACTTTTCACACCATGGGATTCTCTGGCCTTCCCCGAAGAAAATATGCGCAACAAGAGAAGCACGGAGGACGTAAATCCTACCTCTACTACGCTGAGCGTCGGAAGCTGCACCTCGAAAGCGGGCCAACACTGCCCGAGTATGCATCTAACACAAACATCTCAGCGGCCTCGGTCAGGGGGAAATGGAGTCGGTATGTCTTAAGTCCAGGGAATGCCTATTCCTAATCTCAAGCCACACTACTGACCGTCCTTATTGCCAGGTTCTGCTCCCAAGCTTGCCAGGACCCAGATACCCTGCTTATGAATCTTACAGCTCCAGATGTCAAGTCCTGGTTTGACTGGATTGAGGAAAACTTCTCGGGCTCTATAAAAGCCCACAGTGCACTTGCAAATTATTGGAGAACTCTGAAAAGACTCTATTTCATTAAGAACCACAAGGAAATGGAGCCGAACATGCAGACAGACTGCCGTAATGTGAGTGTTCTCGTACGGAACTGGCTTAAGGGTTGACTAATGCGGCTGTATAGTATATGAACGTTGTGAGTAGGCGGATGGGCTTGCGCAGACACCCTCTGCCCAAGCCCACAGCAGCATCAGATGACCTTCTATATTTTCTTGTCACTCACATGGCCCATTGCGACTCGGTGTTTGCTGATGAGAAGCAACGATTATATGTCTTAGCTGGTCTCAATTTATCGAGTATTTCCGCCTGCCGAGCAGTATCATTGTTTGATACAAGACATACTGTTAACCTTCAACCTGATGGACGCCCCCTCGAAACTTCTGGACCCAAGAACCCCGGTAATCTTACGAAATGCGAGAGCTCGTTTAACAAGTCAGAGGACGAGGCGCCCTCTGGGGGTTCCAGCCATACAACGGGTAAAGACACTGAGATGAGCGAGCTAGAGGAAACTGATCTGGATGACATTTTCAGCCACCACTCCGATCTGGAAACTGTGAGCGACGTCGACTGTGATTCAGACGCATCTAGCGTTACGGATGACGGGTATCTTGAGGGCGATGAAGAGACCAACACTATCCTTTGGAGATATGTTGAATTCTATATTGTTTGTAATCCGACTCCCGGTGAACACCATATCCTCGCTGCTATCATAATGCTGCTTCACACGAAAGGGGAGGACTGAAAGCCGAGAATGTAACTACTAGACCTAAAGCAGATCATGCTAATCATCTACTTACATGAATATAGGAAGAGGTTTGTGATCGAACATGAGAAAAACCTGATATTCGACCTATTAGGTCAGCTGATGGCGTTGGCTATTGATGATGATATATTTGTCGCGACAATGAAGGACGTGGTGGATATTTATACTATGCCCATCCCTGCCCACCGGAGAGGTATTCAGATGAAAATAAAGAGAGATAAACTAGACATCCCAATATTTCGGGAGCCCGAGCATACCGCAGAAGGCTATCGAACATCTGATAGTCAACCACTCAAGTCGCGGACATGGAGTCGCATCCTTAAACGACTTGGAATTCGGGCGGGTCAGGCGCATAATCTGACATAGAAAGTGCTTCGCCGGGGTGGAATCAACGCGATTAACAGTATGTTTCCAGCAACATGGATATTGATCCCTATAGCTAAACGCTCCACAAATAGACCAAGCCCCATCGTCTGTTCGTGATCAAGTTGCGGATCATGAGTCTAATGCTGTGAAATATTACTTCAATGAGATAGTGGACTTTGACACCGTAACAGCATTTCACAAGTGACCATCAAACGAAATTGTGCAGCGGGAACTTCGCTCGGCAACACTTTTGGCGGACCATACCGCCCTAATCGGCCTCACGGATGCACAGTCTCGGAAGATATCCCGGGATCCGGAGGTACGGCGCTTGAGAAGGATTTCCCGGGGGCTCACAGCGAGGATCCGTGCGATGGGCCTCACTATCAAGGATGCGGCAGGGACGGAGGCCGGTGAACAGAAAAGGCGAGCAGACGCGGAGCTGAACAGCATGCTCACATGTCTCCGAGACAAAGCCAAGGAGCGAAACCGAAAGAGACATTTTAGGAATACCGATACAGCAATTTTTAATCAATAATATGAGGGCACTTCTGAAGCCGCCAGCAGCGACGGACAGAGCTAGCTGCCTCACAGTTATCATATCTCTGAACGGGCGGAGCTCGTCCGTCTTCTGTGCTACTCCGCGCTCGCGGAAACAACAGAAAATGCCCACCATCGTCGGCTCGAGTATGTACGGCTTCTAGTCCGCTGGCAGCGTCGAAAGGAAAGCCCACGTCGAGGAAAGCAGGCGGCCATCTCAATACAACAAATGCCGACCCCGACACCACCGAAGGCCGAAATTATACCCGAAAGATATGACCCCTTACAATGTCCGTTCTGCCTCTCAGATTTGCGTCTGCCCCAAGTTGACCGACAAAAAAGGAAATACAAGACGAATAAACTGTGGGACCACGTGGAGAAGATCCACTGCCAGGAACTAGCTACATTTGACACTGGCAATCATCGCTGTGGGATATGCAGCATACAAGACATTGATTTTCTGCCTTCCAGCAGAAATGAGTTCAAAAACTATACCCAGACGGTTCACGGAATCAGACTACGTCCCTGATCCATATGTCCCTACCCTCCTGTACAATATTTGCAATTAGTAAATTGATGGTGATGTCATTATCACTAGTAACAATAACCTACTGTACTTCCAAGCGTGCATGTTTAGTCGACTATGTCGATCTGTAGCGTTATACAGGTGCGCTGGATCAGTCTTCCTGCACTTTTTCTTTTCTCTATAGTGAGCTGCGAAATCAGCTTACCCAGCAAGATACTTCTCATTTGGTTTAAAAGGTTCTTGGCGCGAATGCTAAGCCAATTATATTAAAGATATACTTCGTTAAGCCAATCATTGCAAGGCAGATTGGTTAATAGGCCGGCAACTAAAGGTTTTAAAAACAACAAACCAGTGTCTGGTGGGCAGGCTCATTTCGCAGCTCACTGTATCGATGCTTTGGGTCTAGCTAAGGAGTAGGCCAGGGCCGCGACCCACAAGGACGCTATCCTACAAGCACAGGTCTCCAGAATGAAGTCATCAACGTTGAATCTCGCACAATCCTAAGCAGTCACCACGAAAGTCTTGCCAGAGGGTGTAGGAAGACACGTCAAACGAGTGGATGTAGCACTCCCAGAAAAGCACACCCGACAGTTATATGATAGATTATCGTGGAATGAAGCCACTGTGCTGGCTCAACTCTGGACCGGCATGGTAAGATTAATTAGATATCTCTACTAGATTAGTATCGCGCAGACAGACTAGTATGCATGCGCATAAGCAAGAGAAACCATGAAACATTTCCTCTTCTAATATCGGAAATAGGCTACGCAACGGATAGCACTGCTACAATATACCCGTACTCACTCACCGGGGTAATCTCTCTCTCTGCCTAGGCAGGAAATTGCCTACCAATAATCAGCAATGGATGCTGAATTTGAAAGCAGTACAAGCCTTAATACGATTTACAGTTACCACAGGCCGACTTAACATCACCCAACCAGATCAACTAAGATAATAATATCTTTTCTCTAACTAATCTATACCAATCATCTTGTGCTACAGATGCTAGACGCGCTTTAACTACTGAGAATAGGATATTAAACACTTAAAGAAGCACCTTTAAACTAGTCTATTAATAAAACTACTAACCCACAGGGATTCCTACAATATTGATAGCTGAGAGGACATATACTGAAAGGATCTATAGATAGGCTCGAAGAAGATACAGCAGATGTATATTTAACTTCGTGTTGATAGATTAGTAATAGTTGCCCTTTCTGCTGAGCCACCGGGCGTTAATGAATCGTTTGTGTGTGTGTGTGTGTGTATGTGTGTATTAATGCTTGAATTCATCTCTATATTCGACTCTGGTCCAGCAGTTGAGTATTCAACGGAAATACTATGAAATGGCAAACACCATACACTCATACAATAGTTTATATCCTCTCTATATTACGCTACATAGTAAGAAGTTCCTTCACGTGATCAGCGTCATTTTCGTTTCTCCTGTTCAGCTCAGTTGCTTAATACTTTACCCTACAGTACTTCGTGCAAGATAACCTGGTCTGCTCGGAAGTTAAATAGCGATGAATCTATTGATAGTTGGTTCAATGAGCTACATCTTCTAGACTCTCTAGCCATCCTTATCATGATTATCGAAGGGAAATTGAGATTGCAACGCAGTCCGCTCTAGTTTTACTAAAGATGGTGTTGTCCCCAATATTAAAGCAGGGTCTGAATCTTGCCTAAGAAAGCCCAGCGCAAAATGTAAGGGATTATGATATATTAATTATAGTTGAAAGAAGGAAACCTGCACCAGTTCCGGTTATACAAATACTATAATTAATATTCATTCTCATTATTTCTACATGATGTGAGATACATAGAGTCCCATAGATATAAAGTAAAAGTTTACTAATTCAATATTTTATTAAGGATCCTATAGTTCCATCAGGCGTTCTCATTCGACTTAGAATTATCTTAATTCTCTGTCTGCTGCGAGGCAGAACCGTGTTTACCTGCTCGCGATAAAAACTCCTTCCAAGTGCCGTCTTCATGTGCGTGGATCGACAAGTACCTTGTTCCCTTTTTGGTATGATATCCAATGGTCATAATATCTTTTATATCGTTCTTATCTCTGTTTGATGGATGAGGCTTTGTGTCCCTTTGCAATTTCAGCTTCAACATTCTAGTTAGAAAAGTATACTTATTAGAATTCAGGGAAAGGGAAAAAGGGTTTAGAGGTGAGGAGTGGGGAGCCAAGGGAATGAATACGTACTGAACTTTTGCTTCCACAACCGCCGGATACTATAAATAGTGAGGTTAATAATGCCCTCATAAAGCGTAAAAGAAAGAAAAGATAGGCCTGTTCATTAATTCTTATTCTTTTCTTAATAGCTATACCCACTGCCTTAACAGTGTTACTATATCCGGTCCCAGCTTCCTTAGCTAATATCTCTAGGGAAATCCCCTTGTATGTGACTCCCAAAGCTCTAGTAGTGTTGAACATAGTACAACCATGCAAGAGAGGATTAATCGCAGAGTATCGAGAAATTATATTATTAACAGGGGACTAACAGACTTCGAACCAAAAAGCGTTGATATCATATTCGAAAAAGGTGGATGGGAAAGTGAGTTATATATACATTTTTCTTTTCAGATGACTGTACGCGATATCTCAAGAGAATCGCAATACAGCGGGAACTAGTAGGTAGGGGCCCTCCTGGGCTATGTGCAAGACTAGCTTTGAATGGTCATTCAGGCGTAGTTCACAACTTTCTAGTTAGCACATTAAATATCCATTTAAATCCAGTTAGATCCAAATTTATTCAATAATTTCTAGTAGAGACGTTTTAGATTACAAACCCTCCATAGTGGTTGGGCTGGACTAATATTAATCCAGCTCCGCCGGACTCGGAGGTTTCTCCGCCAATTATCGCCAAGCTGAATTGCTAGGATCGTGACGACATCACCCTTGTTCTTTAAATAGGAGAATGCCCCATTTACTCCGAACTTCCGCGTCCTAACTATAGCGATGTTCCGTTTGAATCTTCGAAGATTCAACTCATGGTTCAAGTACCCAGTTGAAAGCGGTATTATATCTCGCTTGTGTTGTTCTCCAGCAAGAACAATAGCTTCTTCGCAAAGTGCTCCTCCACGACAGTCTCCTTTGGAATACGTGAAAGTAGATCCCTTACAAATTATTGAAGAAGAGTAACTTCCTCTGTATAAACTAGAGAATTATTACTCTGTTTATATTAGTGAAGTGTTTTACTCCAGATACCAGGTAGTTTCGAAGCTTGGATATGGCACTTCTTCCACGGTCTAGCTTTGCAGAGATCTTAAGTAAGTGTTCCAAGGTCTTTGGATACAGATTCCTGATATATTATAGAGAACAATGCTACAATACGCTTAAAGTATGTGTTAGAGGGCAAAGACCTGATCGGGAAGTCGCGATTTTGGAACATCTAAAGGAATCCAGCGATGTTCACAGGAAAAGATTGGTCCGCCTCGTCCTCGACTCCTTTGAGATTGTTGGCCCGCGTGGGAAACATGTCTGCCTGATTTACCAGCCACTTGGCATGAGTTTTTCTAAGTTCCAAGATTTGCTTCCCAACAAGAAGTTTCCAAAGGACCTCAGTCAAAGGAGTATTCAGCTCACTTTGATAGCATTAGCCTTCATACACGAAAACAATGTTGTTCATACTGGTGAGTCTACAACACAAGGCGCAAAATGGTCAGGCTAAAAAAGGATAGATATCTCACCGAACAACATACTCCAAGGGATAGAGGATACCTCTATTTTATCGAGAATGGAACAAGACGAAGTAATTCGACCAATAACTAGAAAGATTCTAGCAGACCGGATTATCTATTACTCCCGCCCAATGCCTCTTTGCACGGGATCACCTGTACTCTCTGATCTAGGAAAGGCCAGGTTAGGAGTTGGAAAACACAGCGGCAATATCATGCCCGGTATTTATCACGCACCAGAAGTCATCCTAGAAATGGACTAGGACCAAAAAGTTAATATTTAGTCAGTCAACAACATGATGCATTATACTACAGATCTATAATTATTTGATCACCATCTACAGAGCACACGCAAACTGACATATCATCGAAGATTTGGGATCTAGTGGAAGGCCATCACCTGTTTTTCACAAAGCAAAACGGTTCTCTTAGTGATGAGCAGCATCTAGCTGAAATAGTTTCTCTCATGGGTCCCCCTCCTCCGGAATTTTTAAAAAGGAATCAAAAGTGTCAAAGATTCTAAGATAGCGACAGTATTTCGTTACTGTTTAAACTACTATTATGTTATACATTAATATTAGTATATAAATAACTGGAAAGGTTCTACGTGCATTCCCAAGCAGTCTTTCAAGAATAGAGAGCTGCGATTTTCTGGCCAAGACAAAATACTTTTCCTCGAATTCTTGCGCAGAATTTTTCGATGGCTACCAGATGAGCGGCCGACTGCGGAGGAGCTGGTCTATGACGCTTTCCTGATACAGCCGATAGTAGCATCAGAAGGATGATCTTCCTGAATATGATGTGTTAAGCAGAAAAGATACCCCTACGGATAACAATTGCTCATTAATATATGTAGTCATATACATAGCAGCCACACTACACAGTATCTAGTCTATATATACATCCTTTACAAATGTTCTCGCAGCCGCAAGTAGTCCTTCAGAACATACCCTGGCACCGAAATTTCACATCCAAGCTTCCGCACGGAAGAGTAGTAAATCCGTTTCCGGGATACCATTGGCTCACCAGTCATATAATACGATAGGCTGGGCGGCGGATGAATAACACCGTCGCCCGTCCCACCCGGCATACCCCTCGCTCATATGGTAAATCCCAAACTCATCATCCCGAGGATCGCATGCGTTGGCGCCCGATCAGGTTCGCTCTGGTTTCTCCCTATATTCCATAATTACGTCAGACTCAAATGGCACGGTCTTTCTTCCTTTGTTCTCACGGTGACCAGAATCGTCCATTCTTCAGAAAAAATCTCCGGCGCGCCCACCGCTGTTCGAACAAGACGGGACTGGATTGGGAGCGGCAGGACACACAGTGAACTGAACATTAACAACATACATCAAAACTGGAACGAGCCACGTTCCCCCAATATCCACCTACTGGGGTTTGTCCGTCAAACATATAATCTCTATTCTTCTCTTTCTTAGCTCTAACGAGATTGAAAACAGCGCCTAGTGATCCATCCAACCATGTCAAACGAGATAGAAAAATACAGACTCGAGTCCGTCCCGCGGGAATCACTCTTAGAAGTTATTTCTCAAAAGGTTTGCTTATTATCTCTTTCGACTAACAGTGGAGTTCAGATATACTAATTCTCTTTGTCATCGATAGATAAATGACGATAGTTGCAAAAGTATACAGTGGATTACACTACTGAAAGCCTCCCAAATGAAGCCTTCGCCAACAGTTATTACTATTATTATCGATATCATAAATAGCTAAGGTGCTATCCATATTACAAACGATGACAGGACATATATCAACATGGTCGGGATGGAATTTGCTGGTTATCTAGTTATCGTGCCCTAAAAATGTGATTGGCGTTTGAGAGGCTCTGGGTCGATTGAGGTCGGATATGTTCTAGATAAAGAGCGAACATAGTAGATATCATTCGACAATTCTCTCGCGATTTATTATTAAAGAGTCCGTCAGCTCCTTCGATAATGGAATAGTGACGAAGGATAATTGGTATCTATTATAGGGGTCGGTCAACTGTATGATACCAGTGATCTGACCCAGCATTGCAACTATTTTCTTAATATCGTCGATGGAAAGCTCATAAACATCGCCAGCAACGGATGACAGGGACGTGCCTTTAGAAGTGTCAGCCCAAGAGTCTGTAGTACAGTATTCAGCTACCGTACCTTTATCAAGTCCTTCCGCATAGGCTTTGAAAACACCAAGTTCTAGCTCATCCCATTTTTCACCAAGTTTCGATGGTAGGTATACCCGCTCTTCCTCCCTTATGTTAGCGATGGAGGAAGCCCCTAGGCCAGCAGCACAAAATATAACGCCCATATCTCCAAACTTCTTTCATAAATTCCGCAGCGATTCCAGATAAATGATTTTCTATTTTGCCCCTTTGGCACCAGATGACGGTCTTCTATTAGTGAGAAGCTGTAGAGCCTCGTCAACGCGCTTTATCTCTGGGTCTTTGAGATAAATGCGGTGGTGTGTCAATGATAAGAACTTAGAGAGCTTCACAACAACTTGATCTGCAGTAAGGCCCATACTAGCTGTGTCTGACGGTTCGCTGTGTTATAAAGGGCCTTTGCTTTTCCCTTTCTCTGTAGTGTCAAACTAAAGGGTGTCGGTTCGAAATAATCAGAAGTATAGATACTCCTCAGGATTGATATGGATGGAATCGAAAACTGATAGAAAGTATTAGATCTAGTTGGAAAACATTGGATGCAGTGGGGATTTATAAGTTCCAGACAGAAACGGAAAAAGAAATATAGTCTTCACGTGATTCTACAGAGAGGAGTTCAATCGTCGGGTAATAATAACCAATCAGATCATCTACTACTAATACAGAGGAGAGGGGAAACTATTCTTCCAATATTCCGCATTGTATAGTTCACTTAGATAGCTAGAATAAGGATTAAAGATTATGGGTATACACCAGTATAGATATCACCTCCAATTCTCCGTAAATCATATACACTAACTACCTTTTAACCAAAACGCCAACATATCACTCCACCCCACCGATTCAAGCGATCAAAGTATGGATTACCTTACCAGCCTTGTTCCTTTTCAAATTAGGCAATGGATATCATCAATTTCAGGCAGCATCCAAAAGCAGGAGGTGAGCAACGTGTTTGCTGCATGTTTTGTATGCTGTACTAAATCTAGCCAGTTCATAATATTCGCGGACGCGGAAAGGGGTGTTGATGACCTGGTAGTCACATTCTGCCGCAACCGATTCTACGACCGTTGCCCTTAGAGCGAGTACAAATCGATTGGGCCAGAAGCGACGGCTACAGTTGTCAAGGCTGGATGGAGCTGCAGAGAATTAGATCGAATAGTAATATCTCTTCAAGAAAGAAGATTCGACGAGTAGAAGTTAGATCGACTTCGACAGGAGGCAAGAAACAACCAGCGCTACATAACCTACCATAATCTCTCTGATCCCCGGAGTGTATTTGAATGAGTCAATACGCGGCTTAGAAGAACTCATTAATTATCGCGCACTTACATTATGCATTAACTCGAGGCCGTTAACTGCATATAAAGGAGTGGGACTATTTAAGGGTGTTGTTCCTACTACATTAGTGTAATTAATAGAGACAAACAATAAGTCTTCGTGTAGTACCAATATCCTTATAATATATAATAGAAGTAAAGATTATCTCCTTACCCTACACTGCATCAGCTTATATGGGCTGCGAAGTATATATTTATCTTGATCTCTTGTGGAATCATCGGAAAATGTGACCTACTGTTTTCGTCTGTTCAAGCACATCATGGCTAGCCCCCAAAGGAGGGTAGAGACTCTCAAGAAGATCATCCAAGCCTCGTCCATTGATTTCGTCTGCCCTATATGCCTCAAAGGCTTTCCCCGATCCGACGCTCTATACCACCACTTCCGTAAGCAGGGAGACAATACGCATGCAGGACTGGCAAAAAGAACTTCAAAGAAACAGTCCAATATGGAAGAATTCCTCACCTGCTACCGACAGTCCGTCAACACTTCCATAGCTGTCGAAAGCATTCCTCTACACTCTCATTGTTTTAAGGTCGACTTTGTAGTCGAGAATTACGGAGAGAACATTGAGACGCCACACCGGACTCTTCTAAGAGTTATAGAAAATTCTAAGATTAGGTTCTCATGTCCCCAATGTCTCAAAGGCTTTCCTCGTTCTGACGTCCTATACGAACATTTTCGACGAACCGGTGACAACGTACATGATGGTCTTGCAATGAGGAGAACCGACTTCGACCGGTTCCTGTCTTGCTACCAAGAAGCTCTTAGGGCTTCTATCCCTTCAGCACAGCTCCCATCCAGCGCCAAATGCTTTGAGTACAGGTTCATAGTCGAACATTATGGAGAGGGCGACGAAAATCACCAGAGCATATAACAAATAAACGACACTATTACTACTGCCAGTGAGTAAATCAATTACTTCTATAGAAAATCTCACAAACTAATTCCCATGTACCCTACAGTATATCCGTGGACGGGTGCTACTATTCCACCTTCCCATACGAACTATATTCCGTATGGTTTTGGAAGTAATGTCATGGAATGGAGCGGCAGCAAGCACCAGGACTGATATAGATGTTATTTAAAACCTGTAAAAATACGGATTCCAGAATAGCAATTCCAGGCCGTATTATTGGACAATCGAGAGAATAACGGGTAGAAAAAGCGGAGAAAACTGGTCAATATTCAGAGACAGATTTTCTGGAGTACAATCTGATATTAGCTCTAAATAATCTAAAGATCCGTTTGTTCCCCCTTAGATAAGAACAAAGATATTTTCAAAGGACAGGAAGAGAGAAAAGCAAAGTTATGACTACTTGTCTAGCTAGCGAGTACTACCTTCTATCCTTAGTATACATCACACCACGTATCATCGAAAGTAGAGACCGAGACCACCCAAAGGGCAGTTCAAATTCTCTTAACCATCGGTGTGGGATATTCTTCTATTTACCAGTATCCGCAAAAAAGACCATAAAAAACGTGAGCATGGCAGATTTGGAAAGAAAAATTATTATACTTCAAAGGATTATATAACAAACATTAATTAGATACCTCTGCCTAATATGCCTTAAAGGCTTTCCTCGCCCAGATACCTTATATAATCACTTTCGGAAAATAAAAGATGATACCCATGAGAATCTCAGTATGAGAAGAACTGATTTCAAGAGATTTATTTCATCCTATTAAACAGCACTTGGGGCTCCTATTCCTGCAACAGAGTTGCCATTCGATAATAAATATTTTGAACTGCAGTTTGTATTAGAATACCATGGTCAGGACTTTGAGAAACCTGATAACTCAATTGCGCCCAGCATAGACACTTCAGCCTCCAACACTTGTAAGTATTACCTTACTGGATTTAGCTTACACTTAATATCCCGAATCTAATTACACTCACTAGCTAGTTTCTTATATAATTATGATTCTGCTCTCTGTTAATCTACTTTATATACTACTCTGGCGCATTGCGACCGCGAGCCGCGTGGTCATAAATATAAGCCTACCTCCGAGAAAGTGCTTCCCAGTATGGAAACAGATTTTTTCAAGTGGGCCCGACCACTCGGTCAGGTAGAGATTAAAATACATGCTCTTCTACCACAGCTTGAAAACTGGTTAAATAGAACTTTTCCGTCATCCATACCAGGCAAAGGCCATTCAGACAACCCTGGCATTCTCCTACCAACTGTGGATATTGATATCCCCCTCGCGCCAATCCGGGACATACTATATGAAGGCATATGAGTATAACAGTATGACCACCACTAGATCTCTACTAATAAAGTAGGTAGTTCGGGATATACACCCTTCTGCACACATACAAAGAAACGTTCACCCCATTAAATTTCTGTTCGGCCCTTTACACGGTGCTTCATGTTGATGAGCCCGCCGTAATTGGCCATAGGAAAGTTAGTCTGGACCAGTCACTATGGGTCAGTCATCAGTCAGCCTTATCCGCAGGTCTTATAGTCTTGGTCTGTAAAGCACCCGACACAATTGACAACCCGACAATTTAAGAAGGCCGACCGACCGTTATGTCTCAGCCAGTCAGAATTTTATATATACGTATTCTTGATATCTGTGTTTGTGGTCTGGATGTGATATACTTGGGACCAGAAGGCACGCAAATTCACAAGCTTCATTAAGAGATTAGAGATGGAAATATAATAGGGTTAGTGTTCCAAAAATCCCGTACCATGGATGAACAAATCTATTCCCATATAATAACCCACCTTCCCGCGACCTCCACTTTAAAGGACTTCATTAGACTGAGAAAATCTGACTACGAATACTTCGGGGACAGACTGTACTCGGAGTGCGCATTATACTGTCCCAAAGGGCCTCGGTCACCACTTCGTATTTGTCAAGTAAACCCGAAAGGATCTAGAGGTCAAGTGAAAGCAAGCCGTTCGCATACAAGTTCCAAGGCAGGAGTGGCGGTTTCAGCAAAGTATGGCACTCGATCGATTGCATGTAGCCTAAGCACTGGAATAACTAATAAAAGACAGCCGAGGATGGTGCGTGAATGATTGGCTCGATCTGGAGTCCAGTAACAGTTATCTCATTTCATGCCTCCTGCCAAGAATCACGCTTGGATCGCTTCTCCAATTATATGTACGAATGCAGAGTGGAGGTTTTCTTTCAGGGCGAGCAAGGAGAACCTGTGTTGACAGACCCACTCCTACCGTATTACGTTGTATTGAAAAGATACGTATTCTCGAGGTCAGCTGGAGGATGAATCAGGGTTTGCTGCATCTGCAACTAGTGAGAGGCAATCATCATCACCAGATAATGTCTCATACCAACCTACGCGGGCTCATGCGGGATAATGATGGCTGCAGACGGGAACGGAATCCCAGCATATTGGCTACCCAGTCATAGCCGAGAAATAAGGTACGTCGAGTCTCAATATGTTGACGTGGCTGGCTTGGTACAAAGCTAACTCCGTGAGCTTTTACGCGATAATAAAAACTAAAATTTCCACTCAAACACCATGGCAGTCCACAGATCTCCAAGTTAGTAACATTCTCGCTAGACATCTCTTTGCGAGATTTCTTGTTTGTATTTCGATATAACAGATCTTTTATCGAGACTTATTCATCCTTAGCTATATCATTAGGTTCCGTCCGAGAAAGTGAAAGACCCCTATACAGTATGCCACTCTCATTCTACGGTAGACCCGGTTTGTATTAACAATTAGATCAGGGCAAACGGATATTTCAAACAACTCTTTCACTATTGGTACCTACAAGGTCCCACTACTTCCATTCAGCTGCTACTATCATAATGGGTGACAGCCTCCTCAACCTTATAATCAGCTTCGTTGTTGCCTGGTTTGTATTGGTATTAATTGCTGTGGCTTGCTACTCCTTGAGGCCAGTGTATCAACGCATCCGAGAAGACTAGCTAGATCAAAATCGTTAACCGATACTTCGCTTCGGGGTTCATTTTCAATTCGCCTACTATGTCAGGAATATCCATCGCTTAAGCTTGTCTCAACTACGTACTGCATGGCACATTGGATTGTTATTCTCAGGGAATCTCTAAGTCTTTGACTATAATCCTTGCCCTGAACGAACTCAGGTGGATCAAGGATAGGTCCAATGAAGCTTTTAACAAAGTTACTGTTAGGGCTACCGATAATGGTCTTGAAGTTAAAGATTTGGAAGGTCGTGTTGAGGATCTCATGCTGCCAACACGAAAAAGCTGTCCTTGTGTGCAATAGTTATAAGTACAACAAAATGATAATGATTTTTCATTCTAACCATATGTAGCCCAGGGTTGTCGCACGATTATAAACGGGAGGGTTTCACTGAGGATGTCTTTGCAGAAAGAGTTTCGTTGGCCAATTTAGGAGCACACTTAGTTGAGGCCTAGTCGGAGATTTATATCTGTCTTAACTATTTTTTTTATTTATAATCATCATATTGTTTGTTGCACCTCACATTCGAGTGGGAAAGACCAGTAATATATAGTAATTCCCTTTTAGTAGAATTCACAACTGCATGAAGATTTGTATTTATTAGCCTCAAATTCTTCCAATTGCTAGAGAAAACCCATCTATTTCATACATTATCATAGAGAATTGCAGCTCCCATATCATAGAGTGCAACATCTCTTCGGACTTCGTCGATTAGAGAGGTTTATAAATCGACTCAGAAGGTAAGAACGAATTGAAATAATTTTTCAGAATTTGACCTCCATAAAATGGTACAAGATACTGACTGGCGTCCTCTTACGCATTCCACCCCCTATTTCAACATCAGATTGCATACATTCCCAACAAGATATTCGACAAGACCAAGGATATCTAACAGTTTCTCCCTGAAGCTGTGGTATGATATCTCTTTTCCAGTCTGTAAGGTGTATAATCCACACAATACCTCGCACATAGCTTCAAACTTGTCGTGGGGGTGTGCAAAAAAGTCCAGAAGCTCTTCTGAAAGAAATGGGGACGTTGCATCAAAGTACCAAGTCAGAAGGGCCAGATTTAGAATGATGTCATCGTCAAGCATATCGGAGATACATTTAGTATACTCATCAAGGAGCGAGTTCTCACTAAACAGAAATACTTTTGCCGAGGAATACCCTCCCATCCGGAGACCCTGACATATATCCAAGAGTACCTTACTTTCAGAGTCAAGTCTTTATTGAAATAATATCAACTCAAAGACCTTAGAGCCGAAGCACCATGCCTGCAGAGATTTCAAAGCCAACTCAGCCAGGTGAAGAAGGATCTGGCGAGATAAAGCACTCTTTATGTACATTAGCAGAAACCCTTAAAGTACTTGAACTAGTCGCTAACCATTTTTCTTGACCCGAAGTAAGATGTGTGAAACAGGGCCTGATCAAAACCTAAGTCTTAGAGGATGGCAACTGAGCCAAGTTCGAAGTAACTAAAAGAACTAATATATAGGAAAGAGAATCTCCTGATAGTTTATTCTCTCCACCCCTCCAACCCCCTTCTCTCTTCTACGGTAAGGAGTGCCTCATAGCGACCACCATCCTATGGATGGTACTTAGACGCAGGGGCAGTGTTACCCGCGTCTTTATGAAGCTCCACCTTCAACATATTTCGGTATATTGAAAGTCGTGTGACGACGAATCACGGGCCTTAGTATTTCTAGTCCCCGACCCTGACAGCCTCACAAACAAGCTGTCCTCCGCCACCCCCGCCTGATTCCAGCTGGCCGTGTGACAGATCCATTGTAATGAGAAAGCCCACTAGCTAGATAGAGACATTAGCCTGCTATTTTGCTACCATACCTAAGACCGGATATATCCAATAGCTTCACACCATGCGCAAGCCCAGCAATAAGATAGCCCGGCATTCAACCAGTCTAGAGCTCCATAAAGTGCTAGACTATTAAGTAAGGCGGTTATTTCCCGCTCATTATTCGCTAAAATAAATATATCGCAAATGCTCGATGAGTGGAAGTCTAGCTAAGTTCACATCAGCTCATAGCCTCGCCCTGCTCGTTTAAGTTATATAAGAGATTCCTTTTTCTCACCTCATCACCGGGACCTACCTTTCCAACAATCTCATCGCTCGACATAGTTTTCTCTCTAAAAAAGTTGGTTTCCAGCATGGTTCCAGCTGACGTATTGCTCAAAACTCTCATCCCAGGCTACGGGCTTTTAGCTCGTTTACTTCCTTCTTATTTTCATGTTAATATTACCTCCTATCTTCTTGTCTTTGTAGGACACCTCGCGTTCTGGGCGTATGCCATGCCATCATTTTGGGACCGACTCCAATCCCTCCTTCTACTGTTCTTGACGTCGGTTGAAATTCACTACCACGACGATCTGTTTGATAATGCTATGCGATAGATTTCTAAGCAGAGCACCTTGAACCATACGTTGCGATTCGTTGCTGGCACAAGAATGAACTTTGCTACCCTTTGGGATGACACGGAGGAGGATGAGAGAGATCTGTCCGAAGCAGATCAATTGCGATTCGAAAATGATCCAAGGCCGTTTTAGATAAAGAGGACGGAACTTAATAATCTTCGAACAATTCGTTACACCCCCGCACCAGCTCAAACCCATTATTTTACCTACCGCGGATGTTTGATTGCTCTGCGTCGTCAACCGTATAAGAATGCCGGAAGTCCTTGGGTTACAAGCATGGAAAAGCTATATTTTTATACAGTTCCGTGGAGAAGGGATGTGCTAAAGGATCTTTTATATAGTATCCAGAAGACTTCTAGCGAGCATGACAAACGTCATGTTGTTGTGAAACGCGGGCTTAAACTGAGATCCGATTTCTAGTGGACACGGATGGCATCCAAGAAACCACGGCCCCTGTTGACAGTTATCATGGATTCGGAACTGAAAAGGGGTATTGTCCAAGATATACAAAACTACCTACATCCTCGCACCCGTTCCTGGTACCAGTCCCGAGGTCTTCCATATCGGCGAGATTACCTATTTTACGGCCCGCCAGGTACAGGGAAGTCAAGTCTGTGTTTTGCAATTGCCAGTCTAGTGCAGCTTGAAATTTTTATAGTCAGTCTCAGCGCAAGCGATCTTAACAAAAATAGCCTAGCTCTTCTGTTCCAGTCCCTACCAAATCGATGCATCGTTCTGTTTGAAGATGTAGACCAGGCCGGCATCCGGAAACGCGACACCGATATTCCTCTATCACGGAACCGGTGTGAAACAGACGAAATCACCGACTGCGACGGCTTGGAACACCACAGTCCCAAGCAGCAATCAAGCGGTATAACTCTTTCCACATTACTCAATGTCATTGACAGTGTATCAGCGCAGGAAGGCAGAATCCTGATCATGACAACCAACCACATCGAAAAACTCGACGGCGCTCTCCTTCGTCCCGGACGAGTAGATATGCGAATTCCCTTCCACCATGTCGACTCGTCAGCTATTCAGCAGCTTTTTCTCTCCTTCTTTCTAAAGCCCACTGATACACTGGTTATGGAAGGCACGGAGTTATTTAATTCGATCGATTCACCGCCTACCGCGGCCCGCCCCGATTGGGATATTGAGGAAATCATGAAATTAGCACTCGCATTCAGAGACAAAGTTCCTCAGGGCCGTTATACTACAGCTGAGGTTCAAAATTATCTGTTATTACACAAGAATGATCCTGAGTCCGCAGTTCGTGATGTGGTAGGATGGGTGGATTAATCGTGGAACTGAACCATATCAAACCAGTCGCGTCTTGAAATGGGTCAAAAAACATTAGAAAACGACATGAAGGTCCAGCAAGATATATATCTATTCCAGAGTGTATTGACCTTGAATTAGTGAAACATAGTATAATATACATTTTCTAGCTTCTGCAAGACTTGATGTTCCTCGTCGAGTAAGGTCTGCGTCTGCGGAATCCGAGCCGTCCGGGTAACTTGAACACGAGAATAGGGATGGGGTCAGGAGACTTGCAGAACAACTCCCCACGCGCGAATCAAATTTTTGAAATCTACGCAACCACCACAAGGCCTGCGGGCCTCACCTCTCGTATAGTTATATTTAACACCTCTGGCGACATTTTGATACCAAGTTTGAGGGGTCTTACCCCCTCGTGGTGTTGAAATGGCGCCTAGGTCGTCCCCGTGGCCAGTCTTGGCGGCCGATACAGAAAACTCTGCAGCCTATGGCAACACCATCAGTTTGACGCAGCACGCAGTCAACTAGCAACACGATGCGAGAGCGATTATCGAACACGTCCGAGAGGGTCAAGGAAGCCTCCCCAAGTCAGTGATACAATTTGTGGAGGCGGCCTTGAAGACCGCAGAAATACTCACCACAGTCAACCTGGATAGCGACCTAAGGCGCGAGCTAAAGGAGCTGAGCGACCGCTCCCAGAGGGAGTTCGCCCAGCTACAACACAACGTCACAACAGTCAGGATCCAAACCGACCCCAAGAACACGCTCAGGTCCGTCTCCAGTGGAGGGACCTACGCAGACGCGATCCGCAGAGGGATTGGGCTACCGTCCAGCACGACAGCGCCGACCTCTACCACACAACGCACAGCAGGGACAGGGACCCCGGGGGTCTCCGCATACAAGCTGGACAGGAACAGAGAGGTCATCATCAAGCTCGCCAGCCGCCCCATCATCGAACGCCTCAGGGCCACGACCCCGTTGGATATCATCAGGAGGGTGGAAGAAGCACAGGTAGTTACATCACGTGATCACAAGCCGCCTCAGTGTGGTACAATCCATGGAGGCTGACCGGGGGAGCCGAGGCCAGGAGGTCCGCCGTCCAACATCTCAAGAGAGTGCAGAAACGAGCAGTGATCCTGATCAACGGAGCCTTCAAGGGTACAGCGGGTGACGCGCTCAACACGGAACTTTACCTGACTCCGATCCCTCAGCTTCTAGAGTAAAGGGCGGAGGAGGTAGCCATACGTATAATCACGGGCCCCAAGATTGGTAAGCCAATGGGGGGAGTCCGATACACGGGAGAACAACGCACGTTTCTGGAAGCATTCCAGGCGGAGCTAACAAACCGCAGGCACCAGCTGAACCGCGCCGGCCGGCCGGAGCCCGACACACGTTGGGAGGCTAGGAGAGCCTTCATCCAACCCCCCTAGAGAGATCCATCCAGGGTGGTCATTGAGGACCGCGAGCGGGCAGTTGAGACGTGCGCACGGATTGAGGCGCGAGAGAGGATCACCCTCTACACAGACGGGAGTGGATACAGAGGCCACGTAGGGGCGGTGGTTATCACGCCTAAAGAGAACGGGGTCCGGAAGAAGATCGGCCAATACATGGGCCCGGAGACCATCAGCAACGTGTATGCGGCCGAACTCCGAGGCCTACAACTAGCCACCACGTGGACTAGGGTCCTAGGGGTGGACAGGGCCAGGAGGGACGGAGAGGTGCACGTATTCAGCGATAGCCAGGCTGCGCTGAAAGCCATGCGCGCCCCGAGGATGTCCTCTAGCTAGCAGATATTAGCCCTCCTGCTCAGGGAGGTCGAGGAACTCCGTAAGAAGGAAGTCAAAGTCAACTACCACTGGATCCCAGGGCACGAGGGGGTCCGTAGCAACGAACGCGCAGACAAAGCTGCTAAGAAGGCAGCGGAAGACCAGAAGCAAACAAGCGGGCTGGTAGCCCTAGCGTCAGCGGCAAAGAGGACCACGCGCTAACTAACAAAAGAGTAGTGGAGGAAACAGTGGAAGCAGCAACCAATCCTTGCTAAGCTAACTAAACGCCTTATATCTGAACCGACCAAGGCGTTTCTTAAGCTCTACAGGGGCCTCAGCAAGCCCCAGAGCTCGGCACTGATTTAGTTACGCACGGGCCGGATAGCCTTTAATCACTTCCTGTACAAAATCAGGGCGAGGGACTTAGATAGATGTAGCTGCAACAAGGGGTCACAGACTCTGAAACACATTCTATTTGATTGCGAGAGACTCCGCGGGCTCTAGCTCGAGCTCCGACAGAGGCTCAGGAAGTAGAGGGTGGCAGTCAACTAGGATGACTTTAATGTATTAGTAAGCAAGCCCGCCGCGGCTCGCTACGTCGCTGACTTTATGATCAAAACAGGGCTCTTGAACTAATTCAACGAAGTCCCGCCAATTGCAGAGTAGGAAGACGTTGGGGGAAGACGCTGGATATACAGAGCATGTAGGCTACGCGTGGGTATCACCCCGCACACAAGCCGTACCATACATGCAGCCACGAGGAAGATCTGCGGCGATCCACAGAGGCCAGGTGAGGCCTGAGCAAGCGCAACAACCCACACAGATGCTATACAGAGAGCACCAAGCAGAGCCAGGTACAGCTCTACGGGGGGCTAAGGGGAACAGGGGGACGAGGCAAGGTGTGGTGCGCTTTTCGGCAAGCTTTTCGAGCACGTGATGTCTTGGCAACGACGTCAGGACCCGAGGCAAGTGGCGCAGGGTCAACACCATGTTTTGTGTCATTTTTGCATTTTGTACGTACATGAATAGCCTCCCTAGGAGCCTAGGGAACACCTGCACAGCAGGGCCACTAGTAAGGCCGGCTATATCAGGTTAATGAATTCTACTACTACTACTACTACTACTACTACTACTACTACTACTACTACTACTACTACTACTACTACTACTACTACTACTACTACTACTACTCAGGAGACTTGCATCAGTATTGGTATTTTAGTTCGACGAACACTTCCACATGCACTGCAGGTAGCCTCTAGGATATTTCATGAAGTAATTGCTATATCTTCTAAACATGCTTGTTGTAACTGCTATTTGAGGAACTCGGGAATCAAGGAAATCTCTGCCAGTTTAATATCCCAGTGCTGCTGAGCTATTCCATGTTGTGGTTCTTTGAAATCAGGAACTGGAGTAGAGGAGACTGACTGGACTTTGGATGCAAGCCCGAAATCCCCACGATAACCCAAGTCCGTACTGCGCTCAATGGAATTGGGATCGACTGTACTGGAGTTAACTCTTTCTGGTGTGGATATTGTTGAATCGGAAAATGCCAGACTTGCACTGCTACAGTCTACTATACTAGAGCCATCATTAACACTTGAGAGATCATGACTTTTAAGATCCGCACTGTCTACTTTTTGTTGCTTATACCAGCGCTTTCCTAGTTTCCGAACTCGATGATGGCATTTACTCTGTCTCTGTCGCCATCCTTTTTGGTCCTTACTTGTTTGGTTCTTACCTATTTCCAGTGCTCTATATTTTCTTGCATGGTGTATACTATTGTCTGCCTGGATTGATTGCTGCAACTGATGGTCTTACACAATCTGTTCCCCTGTCCCACACCCGGTTCTCCCTGAAACATGTGTATCATCAGCAGTATTCTCATCTAGTATAAAATGCCCAGCTTCATCAGTCAAATCTGTGGCAGTAGAAGGTTTATAACTGTTAGGGTCATGGTCGAGTAGTGGAAACGACGTAAGGTCTCTGAAAAAGAAAAAATAGATACAGCGACGAACGAAGAAGCCTGTTACTGTCTCGGCCATGGGAACCTTGTCTGCATGCAGATGATCAATAAATAGATAAAGGCTATTGTCATTATGCGTCTACATTCGCGACAGGCTACATCGCATGCGTAGATCTGTAGAGAAATTTGCGAGATGCTCAGGAGACGTTTTGGCTTGGTCCGGAATAGCATTTTGAAAGCATTCGATGATCTTGTCGACTAACAGTTCAAATACCTGGGGTTCGTAGCGGAAAATACCAGGTTTGCGAGCCTGGAGTAATGCCGTACGTGCAATTGCCCGGTCTGGGGATCGATTAACCAGTTCTTCAATCTCAGTCGACCGAAAACCAAGCCGGTAGGCGAGTCTAGCCATCTCACAGACCGTATGCTCATCAGCCTTTGCACGATTGAAATTTGCGAACAGCTTGGCGTCAGTCTTTGGATCAGGCGGCATTAGCGGGTAGTGTCTCATGGCATAGAGCCAGACCTGGCGATATCTGAGTTCGAACTGCTCCATGGGGCTCACACGTGCTGTCCGGAAGGAGGACTCTGACGTTTGAATAAGGCACTCTTCTTCTGGCGGAGCGACGAACATGTGATTCATTGTGGTGTGTATTGAGCCTTTGACGTGGCCGAGGAGGTGTTTGATGCAGTGCGCGCAACTTACTAGGTATTTGAAATCCTCGAAGAAGGTATAGAGGGAAGGGATGAGGCCATCGAACCGCTGTATTTGTGCCCAGATATTAATTTGCTCAGCTTCACTAAATGTAGTAAAAACCTGACTCCTTAAGACTAGCTCTTTCGCTATTTTGGCGTCACTACATGACCTAGGTGCTAATGATTGTAATTGGTCTACCGTATCGTGATCAATCTTCTTGCTTGCTATTGAATTCCTGTCTACAAGAGACAGCCAGAAATGTCGTATGTGTCTGAGGTAGTTGAAGATCTCCTATGAGAAAGTGAGAGGAAATGTTCAGCCTTGCCGATTATTAATAGGGAGATGGCAGGAACTTTGGCCATGTACATTATCGCAGTTGACGGAAACCAGGCTCTGGAGTGCACTGATCCGCATTCCATGATGCTATAGGCCAGGGATAGTTAATAGTGTATCTAGAGCACACCGCAGTGGGTGGTTTTTGGAGTTTTTAATCTGTTTGAACCGTGCTTGATTGCTTCACGAAAGCTTTGCCAGCCATCTCTTTTGAAATGGACGATTTACTTCTCCTTCAAATCGACGAATATTGCGATATATCTCGCCATCTGTGTGTGTTATCTTACTTCTATATTCGTTGATCAGAGAAGCCTTCAATTCATTGTTAATGTCTATGATGAGTGCAGGAGCGTCAGTCTATGTGCGTTACCAAAGGGTACCCGTATAAAGTATGGGATATAACTGTACTGTCTAGGTAAAGGTCCACTGTTTATTAACTGTTATCAGGGGCCAAGACTTCAGATGCTGCCTGGATGTGATGACACCCATGAAGACCCCGTAACTCTCCTGGATTAAAATAAAGTAGAGGTTTGAGGTTTGCATTACTTATAGGAACTTCTTATAGAACTCTGGCTTGCCTAAGAGCCACTTCAAGATCACGTTTGGCAATAGTAGCGGGAATATGATTCTCAGTATTAAGATGTTTACACTGACCTGACTGGAAGACCTGCTTGAGCTGTTCCACAATCTTTCTGTCTAAATCTTGATAACTGGATAGATTAAATTTAATTTGTTCAACCTTGACCCTAAACATGCCCTGATACACTTATTACCACTCAGTAGTTAGCCGCGCCTCTACCTGGGTAAACTAATCTTGCTGCATGAAGTGAAATACACGAAAGTTTTACAAAGATAGTCATTGGAAGTAAAGGGGGCGGGATATATCCTTTTTAAATTTAAGAGTAGGTTGCTGAGAGCTGGCTGAGCACCTCAGCAGTCAGTTTTCCCAGGGCTTACCCAGTGCCCTACATTATAGCTACAACGCTGATAACTTGCCTCAACAGAAGCTACCTCAGCAGTGTGCTTGATCAACAATGACTTTATCTGAGGTTCTGTTTGTTTCTTTTTCTTGATTATTCGTGTTAGGCAGGCATATAGTACAACTAAAGTTACATTTGGCAAGCCCAGCCATATAGCTGAGTCATATATCACCAGGTCAAGAACCAATCAGCTTTTAGGCCGGAGCGATAATAGAGACATTAGTACCACCACACCTTAGCCTAAAATATTTGCTAGAACCCCGAGAGTCAGGCTTCTAACACTTTATAATATTCACAGGCTGATACTGCCACTAGTTAATGTATATTGGGAAACTGCTAGCTTGGTTATAAATTGCCGTTATTCTGAAAATACTAAGCTACTTTATGCCTTTTATGTGGCCCAATCTTTTCAGGAGACATAAGCATACAGCTATGAAAAAGCTTAGGATATGGAATTTTCTTAGAGTCTGTTGGGTTGATAAGAGCCTTCGTTATGACAAAGGGTAAATCTATTAAATTCACAGCAACATATGCCACCATGTCTTGGTACAAAAATAAGCTACGTTGATGTAGGATTGAAAGGGTTCGTCTTGTACGATACTGCCTCTCCAAAGCATTCGCAAATCATTGCAGATGGGGGTAGGGGTTCAGCTATAGTTATATAATAAAGCACATCAGTTCACATCAAGTAGTTCCCAGATAGTCAAAAGCCGACCGTTCTGTTGACCTCGCCGGATTTGGTCGTCTGGTAAATCCTCAAGGCAGTACGTGTTTCGCGGGGGACGATGAAAGAGGAAAGACTCGAAAAGGTCCCCATCCTTGAAAAGCGCATTTGGTAGCTGCTGTGTTTCACGGACCATTTCTAGAATAAGACAAGCTTATTCTTTCGTTAGGTTATGGTATTTGGTGGCACTGACTGCCGGTGTAGTGGGATCTAATATTATTTTATTGGGTAGGTATATAAGGACACACCCGCTCCCAGCAGCTTGTACTATAGAATCCCACTCCCGGTCTTGATTGTGCCAAGACTGGATCTTCCTTTTCACCTGGTCCAGGTTTGGTGAACTGTGGTCCTCTGCATTTGAATCTACATCTATAGGTCTAGACAGGGCGATCTGGTCAATGATGTCCTCGCGACCTGGATTCCTTCCGGATGTAGGATCCTGGACATTTCTCTGTGTCTGTATATACTGGAAAACAGACCATTGGAGTAGTTGTATGCTAAAATTGTTTAGCCTGTAACCACGGCAGCACTGGATAGCAGTTTGATAGATCTACGTAGGCAGATGTTCACCGGTTGTTGTTTGTGATCTTTGAAGTAAGTTAATATGTTCCTTGATCTTCAGCAAAGTCTCGGGTAGGAATAAGGCCATTGCAAGCTGGAGAAGACGATCTATTTTTTTATCCCCAATTTGAGGTATAAATCAACGGAACACCTTGTAGACATCTTTAAGAAAATCATGTTTATTCTGGAACTACTTCCATTTAGTAGCAATAGTGTTTTTACCTTCTTCTTCACGGGAGCAAATAAGACCATGTCTGTCTCTCTCATGAGCTTGCTCCTCTGACTTTATATCCTGCCCTCATATTTCGGTTGTTTCTTCGGTGTCAATCTTGACCTGGTAATCAGTAAGGCCCAGTGACTGACTGGAACAAGACTCAATCGGATACATTTCTTCTACCAGTTGGTTGAACTCTTCTTCCGAAATCTCCTCGCTGCCTGGAAGACCGCTGAGATTATATAACCCAAAGCAGCCCTCTGCTACTTGATGGTCCCGGTCGCGGTACTGGACTTCCGCCTCGTCCGTAACGTATGGTTTTATTTTATGCAGTCCACCGGGCGAAGACAAAGATTTGCGGTCTACCCAAAGACAGTGCTATTAAGTCAGAGTCCATTGTAGGCGATTATATGGAGTAAAAGTCACCTGGGATCCCTAGAGCGCCAAGGTAGAAGTGTTCTGGAAAATACGCGGCAAACCATTACAAGAGGATTAGTAGCTGGGTTAGAACCCTGTTCAATGTACTGATCTGTAGCAAAGAATTCAGAGTGAGCAGTAGAAACTAAAATTATTACTGAGTTATTACCCGTTCTTTTATCTTGAATACCAAGTCAGGATGCTCGGCAAACTTCTTGATTAGCCCCTTTATTAACGTGAGCTTTCCTATCAAGGCTAACAACCATTGCAACAGACCGGTAGATAAATTAGTAATGTGAACATAGTTCTTTGTCTTGTAAATGATATATAACTGCAGTGAAAATGGTCCGAATAATAATAAAATTGCTAATAGTCAATATAGAAAACTAGTACCACACTGAAAACCAGCTGGAGGAAAGAAAGTTGGCTAAGTAGGATTTTCCTTTAATTCCTGGGGTAGAAGGGTATCGGGGAAGAGGAAGCAACCCCTGTTGCTTTTTCTTTGTAGCATTATCGACTTGAAAGACTTTGCTATGGCTTAAGCAAGGATTAGCAAAGACTGAGTGGAACTGAGCAGAAAGGAGCAGAACTGAGCAGAAAGAAGCAGAACTAAGCAGAAAGAAGTAGAACTAAGCAAAAAGAAGTAGAACTGAGCAGAAAGTGTTCTGCGACTGAGTCAGTGGGCAAACAATTTCTTTTGAGGATAGTTAAAGCTATTGTTAAAGCTTTAAGTCCGACTTCTTGACTTAAGCAGCCTTGATCAATCCCAGAGTAGAGCTGAGTGGAACCTAAAAGAATACAAGTAGAGCATTGGTTATCCAATCAATAATACGAAGACAAGCAGACTTGACAGCATGTGATTGAAGTCTACCGAATAATTACCGAGTTATTTACGCCATCACCTACGGCGTAAGCGACAAAACGCAAGTACGTACTTCTGGCTTCTCCCGTGGCAGTGCGGACGGAGTCGGTTACCCGGTCGCTAATTTTATTCAATTGCTATGGTTACCATGTCCTTTCCAGTCTTACTTAGCCGAATTTGCAGGACGGACACAAAGTGACTTCTCGGGTACCGATTAGATGAGAGATCAGTGACACGGTTTTCACTCTCTTGATCGTAGTGTATCTTGTCACATCCCCCTATAGCTCGTGTGAGGGTACACTTGTTGCAAGAGGGCTCTTTGTAGCTGTTTCGGTATTTAGTATGAGTTGGGAAACCCTATGAAAGAACAACAATTCATGCATAATTAATAGGGCTTATATAATGATTTTTAATAGTATTATGTCAATCCTATTCGGGTTATCAACCCGAAGAAGCTATGGCTTTATTTTGAGGGGTGTTGTCTCCACACTCTATCCCCCATTGAGCTGCCCCAGCATCCTTTTCCACCGAGTCCCCGTGTGTTGAACTATTATCTTTAAGAGCCAATTGTGTTTCATCGTCATACTTAGAAATAATATCTTCCAGGCTCTCAATTATTGGTATGGGATAGTATTCATTCTATCTTCATTAAGGTTGCAATTTGACTGAAGAATAGAATGATCTTTACTTACTAGCTCCGGCATTGAAGGTAGCCAGCGTTCTAATACTGATGAATTGAAAACAAACCGCTGACCATTTCTTCTGGTTCTAATCATTATAAAAACATCGGACTCACATTCCAGACTATACTGGGCCGCTTTTCTGAAAATGCTCTTTTTAAGGCGATTTTTTTGCTGGGTTTTTGCTTGGGTGCTTTCTGATCGATGTCTTTTCTGTAATTGAACTTTCTGGGCCATGGTATACAGGTATAAGGACTGTCGGCCAGGTAAGAGGGACTGAGAATCATATTCTTCCCCACGGAAGAGGGCACATCATCTTTTAAATTAGGCAGGCCTGGGGTAGGGTGAGTCTCGCTTCACTTGATAAACTCTGGACTTTGACCTCAGCCACTTTTCGTAGTCTCAGCAGGACTTATTTTCGGAATAGAAAACAATATTTTTCCGACCAGGTCCCGGCGAGAATTTTTAGAGCTATAGAAATTTAGTAGACATAAGACCAACTGGCCCTTTGAGCTATAGACTAAAATATGGTAAGTCATTTAATTCCGCTGGCCTATGGTCTAAACTTCTTGAGCGCCAACCCTTTCCCCTCTAGGGGATTCTTCTGACCCCCAGATTTGCTCTTAAGAACTATCCATTACTTCTATATAAGGAACCCTCTTTTCTCCTTTCAACGCTGTTGCTTTGTTATTAATTTTTAACTCATTCTTTTTTTTTTGTCTCCTTTCTTTCTTCCTTTCCTCCCCCTTTTTTTGGCTTATTATTCTATTTATTTTTCCCTTTTCCACACCAACACCCATCAAACGACAACCCACTGTACGCCATCCCATTTGCACTACGTATCTATGTTATTTTAGATAGAAAGCCTGCGAGTCCAATCAAATATACATTTCTTCTTTTTATTCGCTGAGCCGCTCAAACTACTATCGTGAATGATAGAATCTCTGAATGTGATGTTCAAGGTAAATCGAAGAGTTCCTGGTCATGGCTATCGTTTCGGCAGCCATTTACGAAGCGTTGCAGAAAAGAATGTCGGACTAGAGAGAACTTGACTACTATCGCCATAAGGTAAGAAAAACGGAGGTAAGAGAGCACACTTGTTCCAGTCTCGAATTATACTTATCTATCAGTTTCGCTATACGCTCTGCAAAGTTTACGAGACGATCTCGTATTTAGATTCTTCAGAGATCACAGAGCTTTTCGACGACGTTAAATCATCGGGACAAATTACGGATTACGAATTACGTGTTAGTTTAAGACCTAGGTTTGATATGGACCATACTAAATATCCGATACCATCTTTTCAGAACGCAACAATCACAGGTAGCGCGTTATCTATACTTTCATTAATGTCAAACTCCTTTAGCCTCGAGATCTTGCTTTGATTGATTAATCCTGTTTACTGTAGAGTCCGTTTCTCCTCTGCCGACTGTCGGACCGCATTCCCCAAGTGGACAGGGTACCCTGGCCCCGCTCAGTAGCCAGACATACATTCCTATTACCGAAAACCAGCTTTATGCGCCTACTGGTTGGCAGGATAACTTAGGTTTGGAAGGACCGACTTTGAAAGAACCCGATCATCAACCCTTGTTGAACGCGGAAGATCCGAATTTTTCCATCCTTGGCCCTCAGTCGGCAGACAGCCCTCAATTCTTACCATATGCTGAAATCGCGACCGCCGACCGAGAAATATTTTCAGAATTCACGTCGGCACAGTCACAGGCGACAGATTTGTTTTCAGCTACCGAGCTTAATGAGCCTATCACAGCCACGGCCAATAGCTTGCCACTGGAGCCTGCATTATGTATGCTTCAACCAGATGGCCAAGGCAATCTGTCTTATCCGACCCCTTCAAGTAGCTGTGATTCCCCTGAGACTGAGCTGCGCGAGCTCACACCCGCTGCTCCAGCATCCGCATCACGGAATCGGGCAAGTAAGTCCAAAAGTACGACGAAGCGGAAGCGTATTCGCAGGCAAGGTAATTCACAGGATACCATGGCCGAAGAGGCTGTCTACTCGCTTCTTAAGCCGTGCGTATTCGAGAGGAAAACGATCAAGAAGAAGGACCGCAAAAAAACAGACGTAATGCAGGAAGACGTTGTGGAGGTAAGATTAAGTGATATGCATGTCAGGGAAGTTATACATGCGGGAACTCGATTGTTTCGCGCCGATCCATGTGGAGCTCTCTGGTCCAGAGTCCAGACGTGGATCGCCAGCGAATCACGGGGGCAACACGCACTAGGTATTCCCAGTAAATGGAGGGGAATTGAAGCAGCTGCGGAATACTTTACAGAGTTGCACTCAAAGAAGATTACTGACCCTGTCTCCTCTTGGGTAGCAGAGCTGCTACACTTTATAAACTACCACGATATGTGCAAACGACCAATGGACTTTTGCTCTCGGCCGCCAAAAGAAGGGGAAGACAAAATAGAGACACATGTTCTGAACTGCATCGTTGAAGCCATCCCCAGATATTTTAAACAAGACCTCCCCTTGGACAAACGTCGCGACATGGTCAGCAATGTGATACGATATGGAAGATGGTGGTGGAGACTTTCCCATTGGCTTGGGGTCAGTATTCTGCTGCTTGGAGACGACGAATTGTTCCAAATGATGTAAGTCAAGCAAGGCTAAATAAACTCAGTCTACTAATACCTCACCAGGAAGAGTAAGATGTTCACAAATAAACAGATTGATGCCCTTATTACCTATGCCTTGCGCGGACGGCTAGGGACAGTCAAACTATTTCGATTATCGGATCCTGTTATGAGAGCATTAATCCGGGGGACAGTCAGTCAAGAATTAAAAGACGCTGTTTATTCCAGTGGTTCTCGTCTTTTTACGGAAACGATATTGGAATGTGCTCTTGGTGAGGATACAGCATTAGTCCAAGAAAATCCCGGGGTGTCTTGGACGAATGCTGTGCTAGACGATAAAGACCCTGGGGATAGTTTATTTGCAATTTTGGGTATCTCCGACACATCACAGCCCAAAACACATTGTAGTCAACTGCTTTGGTAAGGTTGATATTATATCTATTTTCTGACCAGCGATTCCAGTGCCTGAGATGGGCTTTTCTCGTGAATATTACTGTAGTCTTATCATAGTCTCCGAGATGGTTTCTATATATATACAGTATGATTCTTCTACACATATATTTTTTGACCGTACACTTTGAAAAACCATGTCATTACCTCAGCTTAGAACGAATATGTGCTGAGGAGACCATGCCCAAGGCAACCGGCATTACACCGAGGCGATAAAATTCTCTGTACGCTGAGAACGCCTTCAGTGAAGGCGATAGAGCACCTCAGGCCTCAGCCTAGCACCTAGGAGCACGCTGAGTGCCAGAGGCTGCCCCGTCAGCCAATCAGCGAATGCAACCGTAGTTCAGACATACTAAAAAAAATACTAGAAACCTAGACGGACGGGCCACAGCCAGCATTTTATCCTCAGCGGGTCAAATTGACAAGGGGTAGTCCAAGGAATATAAAGGAGTTCTTATGCCTCATTAGACGCCATTTAATTCAGTCAGGTTTTTTTATAACTGTGTCATCTACCTCTAACCTCATTCCTACGCATACGTGGAGCATGAATGCGTTAAACATCTATGGAGTTGTCGCTGGCGGCATTCTTGTAGCACTGTGTATGGCTAGGGCGACTAGTCTATTGGCACGATGGGCAAAAGTAACAGATTCTCTTATTACCAAACACTTGACCCTTCCTTATATCGTCCGTCGGCACCAGCTTTATGGTCCATGGAGCCGAGGTAGTATTCTTCTTCACCTGTCTTATATTACAGTCAATATCTTCCTGGTTTTCTTTGGGGATTTCTCATTAACTAGCGCTGGTCGCCGGGCTGGGGCCTTGGCTTTGATTAACCTAACATTTCTTCTTTCTGCGATGCATCTTAGTTTCTTGGCTGATTATCTGGATATCACCTTGAGAAATTACAAGAGAATTCATCGTGCTGTTGGTTGGATAGCGATTGCACTTCAAACTTTCCATATCATGATGGCAGTCCTGGTTTCGAGGGTGGATTTCCCAGTCCATGAGCCGGAAAATTTCGCCGCGATCCTTGTACGTTTCTTGACGCGATAAAGCCGATTCGTCGCTAACTCTCCATAGGGCGCCGCGTCTTTAGGGATCCTGGCCATATTATCCCTTCCATTATTTCGCAGACGGGTTTACGAGGCATTTCTACGGGCGCATCAAGTTCTTGTCGGAGTGTATGTCTATGGCGTTCTGAGACATATCCCTAAAAGGAGCCACTCCTCGAGGTTATACATCTATATCGGCCTCGGTACTCTGGGATTGACCTCGGTGTTGCAGTTGATAATGCTTCTCTACCGAAATGGCCTGTTTGCTGGTCGTGGTCCCCCCAGAGCTATAGTATCCTACCACCAGGGAGAGAAAGCAGAAGACTATGATAATATAAAAGGCGGTATCATTAAGATACGGATCATCCTCCCTCGATCAGTCAAGGTGAAGGCAGGACAGTATATTAACCTTTAGATGCCGACAGTAAGTCTCTGGTCGTGGACACAAACGCACCCCTTCACCATCACGTCTTGGTCACGAGAGAAGCAAGATTCTCTGGATCTGTTCGTGCAGCCACGCCAAGGTCTCTCCGCCGATCTACTTCGATATGTGCGCCCGATCACCGAAGGCTCCGTTTCTTTCTTGGCGCTTTTCACAGGACCCCACGGGCATTACGAGCCAGTCAGTGGCTACGAAAGTGCACTTGTTGTCGCGAGTGGATTTGGAATCGCCACGGCGATCCCATACATAAGGCAAATGATATATGGGTACAACACCTGCACGTCCCAAATCCGTCGACTGCACCTGGTTTGGCAGGTTGAATCAATGGGTCAGTTGACTCCCTGACTGCGGTGAGCGAGACTGACTCGGTAGCAGACATCGCGATTGCAGCCCAGAAATTACTAAACAGCATGTTGGCGGACGATGTTATGGATGATGGATATGTAAGTTTCATCACTTATCAATCTGATGCAAAGTTGACAAATTGAGTCAGATACTCAATATTTCAATATACATGGACAAAGCCCAGCTCGCGCAAAGTAGGTTACCGTTTGGTGAGCACAAGAGGGCCTTTCTCTACCAGGGCACTCTGGGTTATCGGGATATCATCTCCCAAGAAGCGTCCGGCGCTCTGATAGAGAGGCTCCCCAATATCCGCGACGAGCCAGGCGAGACACTAGTAATGGGTAAAGTGACTGCGCTCCTAAAAGGTGCCTGCTAACGCAATTCTTACAGTTTCTGCGACGGATAACATACGAGACCACATACGGGAGGTGACCCGAGACTATCTCCATCAGCGTGTGAACTTTCTAGAACTAGAGTATCAGCCATGCTCCTGATTTCTCTGCCTGAGGTAATAGAGGAACTTGTTAATGCTGTGGCTTATAGCAGCCATCAGACCTGCCATGGCTGGTAAGGATGGAAGCCTTCACAAACCAAGTTTTTCTCCTTTAAAAGCCCGATGGCAAAAAGCTAATTGCCCCATTAGTTAATTTGTAAATAGAATACTGTAATGCCCCACTTCCAACTCAAGTCACTTCACTCTGGAGTATACTCTGTTGGCATCTATTCTACCGCTTACTATCTGTAGTCAACTTTCTAAAAGCCTTATAAGTACCTAATATCTCTAACTCCTGTTTATCTATCTGTCTTCGCATAAACACTGATAAGTTTACCAAGATATTAGGTGCATTAGTGCCGGCTGAAAATAAAAAGCCATCAGGTGATGGTGATATAGTACTTCGGGACTTGCTCCGCTTATCTATATTAGTGTGGATAATTATGATGAATAGCCTATCCTTTATTTTATAATATGTATTTAAAATATTTAACTGCACCAGAATATTCTACAGTAGCAAGTATAGAACAATGGCGCCAGAGACAAAAAAAATAAGTAATGGGCAAGAAGCAGGATAATCAGGGCAGAAATAATCTCCCTCAAGACTTAAGGGCTTGTTATGAATGTATGTGTCGAGATTAAGGCAAGACGGACGAGCCCAATCAATTCACCAGGAGACCAGCGGCTCTTAGCTATAAACGGATGCTAAATAGATTGTGAGAGGTTGATTAACTACACAAAGGTATTTACTTACAAGTTTCAAGTCCTCTATGGTCACCACAGACGTAGTGGCAGACAGGAACTCCACTGGTTCAGACCCAATCGACCAACAGTCCACGTTGTCGATCCCGATCGCACCGTCAGCCTTGACGTATTTCTGCATGAGCAGGGTAGTCACAGTAGTAAGGGCACTAAGAGAACGGGATTGGGATTGGTCTAGCTGGTGTTCTACACAGTGCTCAAGTGCTGCTTTCTGATTTGTTAGATATATGCCATGAAATCGGTATTATTGGATTGCTTCCTACCAATTTCAATGAGCCCGTCGAGTCCCAGAAGAATGTTGGAGTACTCAATGGCTTGATGCTCCCAGCCATTCGCCAGTAGATATGATATCCCGTTAAGAACCTCCATCCAGTTAGCGATCTTAGCGATTGGAAGCAAGGGTTGACCGGCATAACATTACCTGCGCAAGGATGGACGCCAGTTGAAGCTCACTTGGAAAGCGGTCACAGGCAACAAGGTTATCCAAAGTAAGAGGGCGATCGACGCCAACAGAATATAATACCTCTCCGTGTTTATATATATCTTTAGTGGATATGACGTTAGGATGTTGGACTTTCTGTAATATCTTCAATATTTTATCTCCGCTGCGCTCGGGGTATGCGCGCACAGCGAAGACCCGAGAAGGACGAGTGCGATGCACGGCGATAGATACAGACCCTGCGAGATCGCAGGTGAAGATCGGAGTCAATGCGTCCCAGGGAGACTCGTCCCGTAGAACCAGTGACTGGGCAACCGAGCCGCCTTCTTCAACAATATTGGGAAGTACGAGTTTTTTTCGTGGGCCTTTTAAAGATTTTTTCGGGAGGCCATGCCCAGACGTCTCTCTTCTTTTACCTTTCGATAGTGCTGAAACATAGTTATCTGGCCTGTGGGTTTTATCGGATGTAATAATGGATGGGTCCGTCGTATGTTGCCCGTCAACTAAAACGCCCTTGAAAAATATCTTTGTAGAGTATTTATCTTCGCGGTTCATGTTTACAGCGAGGAGTAGTCTTATGGAACTGCTAATGGAAGTTCTTGATAGCACAAGCCAGAAGGAGGCCAAGGTCATTGATTATAAAGGAGGGAAGGGTTACATATTTTATAATAACTTAGCTAAACCGCCTCAGCCAAGCATAGCCTCAGCCAAGCGTAACTTCAGCCAAGCGTAGCCTCAGCGGAATAGGTATCTAACCTCAACGAAGAGTATGTCCTATGCCAAACATAAGATATTTTGGTCGCTCACCAGGAGAGCCCGGCATATATATTTTTAGTAAGAGATTCCCTTCTTCTTTTCAACTTCGCTTGCTGGTTTCCTTTTGAACATTCCTGTGATAACAAAAATAGAGTCTTTTCTATTTACTGATGCTAAACGGCACTTGACCACCAAAAGACAATTGAAATATCAGGGAATAGCTAAGATTAATTTAGACCAGATTTCCTTCTATCCATCTATCAATACTAAATTTGACCAAAACAATGTTGATCGGATCTCTGAAATATTCCATAAGGATGCATGTCGACGACTGGACATCCGAAACCATGTAACTACTATCGTCTCTAGGCAGCATTTAAAAAGGACCCTTCGGGCCGCAAGAGCCACAAGCGGGGAGCTGATGACTAACAATCCTACGCAATACCCGCATCTTCATTTCCGCGTTAGCCAGGTTCGATATCTCCACGGTCAACACAGACTTAAGGCGGGAGAAGAGACACTGCCGCCCACAGAACAGTGGTAGACTGTAAATCTCTACCTGGATAGTTTGTCCTGCGCGTGTTTAGATACGGTGGCCCACTCTAACTTCTGCACAGATATCAGCCCGACCTTGCGAAATGCTCTCGTAGACGAGTACGCGAACGAGAAACAACCAAGCAATGGTGAAATATACCGGAAGATCCGTCAGTACCAGCACGAACATAATACCTGCTTCCAGAAACGATGGTAGTCTCGGCTGTCGGACAATAAGGCCAAACGCTTGCGGCAGCTCATATCCTCCCCAGACAATGTTGACCTCTGTGCGGCGTTTGATGGATTACTCGCGATACCAGGACTATGGAACGGGATGAGCCTTGGCTCTTTGAATAAGGTGCTAGCATTAAAGTGTGATGAAGTTGGTCCCCCTCTAACTACATATGACTATTACCAACATCATGTAGGAGATTGTTCACTATCTCAAGCATATAAAGAGATTCTGGGCCACCCTTGTGGACCATGACCCCGCAAAAATGGCCAAGATCGATCTTCATACGGTGGACAGTCTGCAGCGACACGCCCCAAACGCATCCGAAGTGGATAAGAAAGCCGTGAAAGACCTGATTGTTAGCGGCGAGGTCCTCTCCAAGTTCACTAAGCCCAAACGTCTTTCCATTTGGCATAAGTTGAGATCTTGCGAGGAGTGCGACTGTGTTATCCCATCCCTTCATACATTTTTCCGCGATATATCCTATCTTAATGCATGTGCGGACGTTGTAAAGCGGCTGGTTGTTCTCACCAAGCAGTGTCCCACAATACAGAAAGCGTTGGGTCACAGCTTTCGACCCCATAGCGCCAACGAGGATTGCCAAATACAAATATCAGAGACAACCTTTCGCAGACAGCCTGGCAACTTGGCACAACAGCTAGACACTGGCTATCGCCAAATTTGGATGTACGCCATGCGATGGTATCCGGAGATGGCCAAAGAGGAACAGAGTCACACTGTCAAGGCTAAACCTACACGCACGATGGCAGATGAGAACGCTATCTATGACATGGCCGCACTTGCTCGGCAACTAGGATTCTGCTCCAAACAAATCGAAGACATCTTAAAACAATCTCCGGATCGGCAAATCGCACGGGCAGCCCTACTAAGAGCTCGAAGAGCCGATCGCTATCATTATAATAGAAGCTCATTTGAGTCTCTTATCGACCGTGTCGTGGAAGTTTTCTCTTATGCGATCCCTAATGAGAACGAGTCAGTAATAGAGCTCATTGCTAGCAGAGCAGTGAGTCTGAAAGATCGCTGTGGGCTTCCTCTGGTGCAAGCCTAGCGAATAGATCGGCCGTGTCTTTTTCTTGATCAGTTACACACGGTACCGTCATCGCAGTGGCATGTATCTTCATTTTATGTAAGACAATGTGTCTATTTTGCCTTCTTTGGTAGACCCTCTATATCCAACATAGGCTTAAATATCCCGGAGCGACATTCGCAAGAGCTTTACCCGGAACGGTATTCGCCATTATTTTTCCCAGATGAGGATCATTCAGCGCATGACGAGGTTCGGGTAACAGCAGAATTGCAAACACGCAGTGGCCGTGAAGGACAACTTACAAACCGTGCCCAGATGCGAGAGATCTGTCGGGCGCAACGTCGCCATAGTCGGGAGCAAAGGCGGGAAGAAAGACGGAGCAGACGACAACGGCGTCGAGAAGGACGTGAGACAGAAGAGGAGCCCACCATTCCCCGAGTGCTCTCCTTCCGAAATTCCCCGCCCAGTGAAGGCAGCGCCATAAGTTATGGTACTAGGTCAATAATAGATTCCCCAAGACGCCCAAGGACTTCCATATCAAGCAATTCTCAATCCATTTCAGAGGGTGGGGGGTCTGTGCAGCTTCAGCATGATACAGAGGGAGCAGTTTCGGAAATGTCCGAGGAAGAGCTGCTACAAATAGAAGAGGGGCGGCCGATGCAGGCAATGCAGACCAACGCTGACTCAGATGAACGCCAGCGGGAAAATGAATTAGTAGCAGTAGAATATACTGAAGAAGGGAGGGTAACAAGAGAGCAAGAGCAACTTTAGTGTGAAACTAAACAAGCTAAACAGGAGCGACTAGAGCACGAAGCTAGAGAAAGAGCTGCTGCCGAACAAGTTAGGCAGGAGCAACTTCAGCGTGAAGCTGAATAAGCTAAACAGGAGCGACTAGAGCGCGAAGCCAGAGAAACGGCAGTCAAACAGAAACACCTGATAGGAGATCGCGAAAGTAGATCTAGGTGAGAACAAGTATTACAGGAAACCGAAGAGGAGGCTGCAACGCATTTAAGCTTACTAGGTAATAATAGAAGTTAAATGTAACTAGCTGATACAGCTGATATCCAAGGAATTACTGCTGATGATATGGAAAAGCTTCTTGATGGGATGATACAGGGCGAAGTGGGACAGAAGCTAGTAGGCGGCGAGGATATAAATGGACGCGATCAGTTGACCAAAGGTCCAGGTGAAACTGCCAGGGACGCTCACGTTGACGAAGCCCGAGTGGCTCAGCAGTGAGAAATCGCGTATGCTCAGTTACAACAACAGGATAATCCATTGTCGCCAGATGATCGTGGTACATCTGCCCATACTCCACAGCGTGTCACTCAGCTAGATCTACCTACTATGATTACTAAATAGCGTCAAAGGGCGAGCAAGCCGGATGGCGATGACACGGGGCGACAACAGTTGCGACCGTCCAAGCCCGCGGGGCTCAGAAAATCCCGAATGAAGATAAAGCCCACTCATCGAGACATCAACCGTTTGGGCACTCTTGATGCCGCCATAAGCGATGAACTAGAGTGGGATCTTGAAGCTAGTAATCCAGCCCTTATATTACTGACGCAAGCGCTACATATGGCCGGGGAAGGGGTACTAGGTGCGCAGCCAGAAGATCACACATTGTTCTAGCCAGTGCCAGAGTTATAAAAGCCGAATTTATCTGTGCCGTTGATAGAAAGAAGCAGTGACAGGGTCATTATAGATATTAAACCTCTACCTGGCCATCTAGACCAGGCCGCCGGTCACGACAGATTCCCCGATAGGAGGCAGAAATGCTTTGAAGGAACCACCATATCTAATACTATCTATACCGTCACAGATCAGGCTAGACACTATTTACCTACCGTGGCTATGCCTGCTGGAGCAGCCGAACACAGGGAACACGCTGCTTTGGCATCGGAAGAGTCATCTGGACTCCCCAGCCAGGGTAATCAAGGAACCTCACCAATGGTCATGGAGTCTACTGAGGAAGCTATGGGTCTTGCTCAGAAAGGGCAAAAAAGATCCGAAGCAGATCCAGAGCGAGTTCGGGAAGAATTGGACCAACGAGCGGCGGCAGAGTGGGCGCTCTTCGAAGAGGATGCCGACAACCAACTACATCCGTCTGAGGTGCAGGGAGTTAAGACAAGTTTAGACCGTCCAGAACCCACACACTCGCCTCAAAAAAAAGAGACAATTGAAATCAGCAGCGGTGCAAACGACCAGCCTAAACACTCCACAGAAACCAATCCGAACTTCGAGACTCAAGGAGCCACACCGCCTGCGCAAAGCTGGGTAGTTTGGAAGACTGCCTCGCAACGTGGACGCCCGCACCGACCACTGGGCATCAAAGCAACACGGGATGACGCTAAGCAGCGACAGTCCAAGGCCACGTTCCCACCCGGCATTGGGGAAACGCAGGTGGATAAAACTGCCAGCCATAGAAAGGTCGCACGGACACGGCGGGCTTCAAAGGTCATCACTCAAATGGATTTCCGTGCGTGGACGGAACAAAATCACGCCGTAGGAGGTTCACAAACTGAGCTACGTGGTGCCAAACGGCCCCGACCTTTAGGAGATAAAGTTGAGGAAGTCTGCATCAGACCACGGGCCTCTAATGCAGATTTGGCATCATCGAATCAAACAAAAAGGTTACGGTCGATTAGGCAGCAAAATAGGGACGAGCAGATATCCTCAAATACAAACAAGGCGGTCCAGCAAGTCTTACCTCCTGCACCAATCACTGGCCAAAGGGTCGGCTCAGGAACGCAATTGATGGCTACCCCAGCTGGTACGGAGGTTACCATCACTTTCCGAGCTTACGAGCGTGGTGAATGGATGACGTTGGCCACTATACCTGTTGATGCCTCTGATCCACACGAAGCGCAAAAGGTCGCCGATCGCTATGCGCGAGTAGAGGACCAGAATGCACGTTTTTATGACCGTAGCCTCCGAAAGGTTAGCGTTAACCAGTGTGTTCGTGCGGCGATCGACAGTGGTACTTATACTGTCCTTATGAGTCTTGGGAAGGAACTCTATGTGACCCGGCAGCTGATAGCTTCGGTCGCAAGGTTATTCGACGAGGGGTTGCAAACCCCGGGAGTTACAACAGACGATGAGTTATAATAGGCTGCATCTTATAGAGCAAAATCTACCATGGCTGAGAACGCGGTCTGTAGTCCAGTAGTGTCTTCCACGCGTAGTTCAACGACTGAAGAGGTCTTTTACTAGCAGTGGACGCCGGTCGGCGGCTGTGGGACCGAGAAGGTCCTGCGACCGTGGTCTCAGGACCTGGACGGTCGGCGGCTCGGCGGCTAGGGCCCTGGGCCTTGGGCCATTGGGCTTCTGCCTGTGAGTTTAGCACCTGGGCCACAGGTGTCGGTGCCTCGGACATTGGCCCCGCACCATGGCGCCTCTGACCTAGTCAGTGCTGAGACAGAGAACTGGTGGCCGCCTGCGCCCCCGGACTGTGGATTTGTGCCCTCGGTGGATCGAGAGCCCAAGTGGTCATGTATCACACCGCATACGACCGGTCATGCCTCCGAACCAGGTTGCAAAATCCAGCAAATCGCTAGGAAAACTACTGGATAAATCTATTTGAGTGATAAGGAAATTTGTAATGATAGAGGCCCGCTAACTGAAGATGACGAATACATACTAAATCCACGAGCGACTAACATGGATTGATTCTGAGTAGAAGCAATTATGTATCATTCTCTCCCTCAGAAACGAAAATTACGTCAATAGAAAGACTACTTATTTGTATCTGATTGCGAGAGCCGTGTTTCATGTTGTTTAAAATGTTATTACTAAGGTTCCCTAATTATAATATCCAGCGCTGTAGAGCAGGAGTATAGATGATAATCTAAATCAACCCTAAAATCCGCTGCAGCTTGTCGGGCAGTTCTGCGTATAATATTGATCCCGCTTTGAGTGGCGTGGTGTCATTTCAGACGCTGATTATAAAAACCCAGTATATTCCCCTATTTTGAAATCGAGACCGTCAAATTTTAACGCGAGATGGCTAACGATTTTAAATCTTTATGAACCCTTTTATCGAAGTAAGCTCGGATGCTCGTTAGTATATTGAATAACAATTAACTTTATGAAATATTCGAGAAGATAGTACCTATTCAGATCTTACAGTTCTCTGCGAGTCATCCGTCTTCAAAGTGTATAGCTGCATTGTCTGTCCACAGTCGAGTTTCTTTGAGAAAGCAATAAGCGGGAATTTTCAGGTACAAGAAAGCAGTTCGCATCGGGGATTTGTCTTATAAGGTACAGGAAGCCATCTCAAGAGAGATTACTCTTGAAGATGACCCACTCATCCTTACAAAGATATTTGATTACCTTTATTGCGCCACCTATGACGATTGTTATGAACTATAGTTTATTACTGAACCAGCTCAAGACACCCCTGAGCAAACTGAATCAGCAAAGCCAAGCGAGACACCAACTATAGATAATAAGGGTAGTTAAGCTATACTTGCTAGCCTCACTATTGAAGGAAGCAGGGCACGCATTAATACAGAGATATACGCCCTTGCTGATAAGTATCAGATTGAGGGATTAATAAAGTTGTCTAAACAGAAATTGCAATCCCACCTTGAGTCAAACTGGGAATACCTGGAATTCATCGATACAGTTTGATATATCTACGGACCAAACAACCCTCCCCACTCGGAATTACGCGACATTTTGTTAAGATCTGTCATTCAGCATTTGTCCGCTCTTCAACACCAGCAACTGTTTCATGATATCTTGAGAACATTTGCCACGTTTTCATATGATTTCTCGGCTTTAATGATAGAAAAGGTGCTTCAGCTAGAACAGAAACTATAGTAGGCTTACTCGTCCCTGTCTAAAATAGTCGCGAAACCTGAACGAGCTTCTTGTCAGCGATAAATAAATTACCTAATAAATCGTGTGGAAGCCGACAGTTTATCTACAATTAAATTCACATCTGAAGAGAATATCGAAAAATCGTGGTTCCTATTGCAGTGACTGCAATAGGTCGTTCGTAGATAAGAAGGGTCTTCGGCAACATGATACTAACTATCATTATTGGTGCACGGACTGCAAGAAAAACTTCTTATCAATTAATAAAGCTCGATCACACCGTGCTGGTTATCACGGAGGCTATTAAATAGATAATCATCTACTAGGTCTCAAGGCACAATTAAAGGAGTGCAAACTTATTGTTTTGGTCTTTAGTACAGCTAGTCTTCATATAGTTACAGATTATTGTTGTGAGCATTTGAATTTTTACATCTTTGCTGAGTTCATCGAGCATGTTGTATCATATAAGAGTTATGGTATACTTGATTTCAAAACCAGCGCCGGGGAGCCGGGGCCGAGAACTGTCCTCATGGCTCGTGAAGTTAGTGCCAAGAAATGCTAGGGCTCCGGTATGCTTGGCTCTGATAATACTGTCTTGTAATGTATGCAGAGATCTTATTATCTGGAAATGTTGTATAACATGTTTTCCTATAATAAGTACCATGTGGCCCTAGGGTCTCCTTAGCTGCAAATCTGTTAATCATGTTCGTGTCCCCAAATTTTATACGAGCAAGGTTCGAGTTTCTGGAGTACGATGACATTGCGAAAGGTGCCAGTACATTACGTAGCTCGGAGCTTTTTATTCCTAACTACATCCATACTAGCCAATCTTGGCATGATCTAGTGGCGTAACTGTATCACTGCGTAGAAGCTAAATGAGGGGGTGAGAACATCGAGCCATGTACATACATCCCACCTTCTGGCTGCAGCGTCAGGACACTCAATTCCCTCTTCTGCTTAACTCTGTCATGAAATGTTCCATATTAGAAGCTTTTCGTACTTCCTCTTCCCTGAGGAATAACCTATCAGGCTCATATGGCCCTTTTTTCATCCACGCTGACCATTTTTCAATCACGGCGACAGTCTTAGTGCATGATACCTCAAACTATTCTACATGTGTTTTGAGGCAACAATAGCAATAGATAATTACTTGGCGATGGTTTAACTCTGCGTGGCATAATTTTTCCACACGGTGAACATGTGGAACAAGTACAGCATTCTGAGCAAATATGGGAAATAGCCTTTTCGGTTTCCGATTACAGTCAAAACACCACTCCTCGTGATGCTTTTTGATAGTGCGTGCAGTGTACCCAATCTTGAGGAGTCCTTTGTTTCCCTCATCTTCGTAAATATAGAGGTAGCCAGCCTTTCGTTCTTTGTCGTCCAGACATTTCATCATCTGTTTTCGTACCGCTTCGTATGAAGCCTTGTAATTATCCATACCTTCCACTCGACGGACAAAGTCGAAAAGGGTCGTATTATATTAGTCTGACTGGGGTGTTGGCGGATGCTTGCTAGAACTGAGGCAAGCTGCGGATGGCTCCAAAAACTGATCCGAAGGTTTCGAGGGTAATGCATCCTTCTGTTCGGTGGAAGTATTACGAGCTACTAGAGTAATCTTAGATAATTCCTTTTTTCCAGAGTCCCCTACAGCTTTACTTGCCTCCTATTTTCCTATAATTAAGCTTGCTCTTTCAGAGATATCCTGAATCCTCTCCTTCCACAAAGTCTACTCCTTCGATAAGCTTTGGTTCTTGTGGAAAAAACAATACATATAGGTTACAACAAGCCCAAAAAAATAGTCCAAATTCTGCTCGTTCATATAGATCTCGGCCATGGATAATTCAGAAATTGTTTGGGTGCGATTCAAGACTTTTCTCCCTCCAATGTTTTTCCTACACTGCTTGTTCCCCTTTATAACACCTACGCACTGATTGGTAAGTCAGCCAAAACAGAGTTTAATCTTTCTTTCAATCAACGCGGGATATGTGGCCTGGTCAAGTAAAAAAGGGAAGACAGCCATCCATATATCCAACCGTATTTGTTGTGCGTAACCTCGTTGGTGCTGGTGGCAATGTACGAGGTTGACCAGCTTTTCAATCTCGGTTTGTAATCGGAGAGGTGACTTTTGAAGTGCAATTATCGTCTCTAAATGATCATTGACTTGATTTTTGAGGTTCTCGGCTATAGGGTGTTCGCATGGGCTCTCCTTTTGTGTAAGGCCCCCACATAGCCAACGGTTCAAACCAAAGCGATCCTTTAAGGTTGATATTTCTAACTGGACTGGTTCGATTCCTTTATTTGTCTCCGGACTTCTCAGATGGGTGAGGGGTTTCGGAGGAGTTGTTGGCAGGATGGTGCCAGTAGAAGAGTAAGACTCTTCGCTAGATTTCTTACAAATGGCAACGTCGCCTTCGTTTTTACGTGGCGTGTTCGGGGGGCTCGGATAAGCAACATTTTCTCTTGCACCTTGACTATCGGGGATAAGAGTCGTCCGAGATGCTGTGTTATGTAGCGTCTTGGTGTTTGAATTCATGGCTGATGATCAAAAGAGATGTACCGTAGTAAATTGCATTTGGGCACTGCCCTTGTACCAATGACCTTTTTGCTGTTGTCTTGGATCCGTGAGTAAAGTCGCGATGCAGATTCCTACGTTGATAGGTGCCTTGAACGCAACTCTAATAAAAGGAGGATGAAGATGCAGAAACAAAGATCCACGGAATCTCCGTGTTCCGTTCTTGAAGGCTTAGATGCGGGGTAAGGGAAGTCGCAGGCAGGTGGTGCAGTGACCTGTTGGACTCGTACATCTACATAAGCCTTTGTAAGCGTGTATTAGTATTAATTATTTAGCTAGTCGGTGCATAAGGGTCACGTGTAAACCTGGCATAATCCTTGGTTTCTCGAGTGGAGTGAGATGTGAAGACCCTGCTCTGTCATAAATATCATTGAAGCCTCCAGTTTCATCGTCTCTCATGGCAACCATTGTGAGCTTTTGCTATGAGCTTATTGCCATGGTAGCTGAAAGCATCAGTGAAAACCAAGATCTTCTTAATTTCCGGCAAAGCTGTACCTATATTAAGCATTGCTCGCAGCCTTGCTATCTGCGTCGTTGTTTTTCATGTCGGCGACATATGTTCAGCTGGTAAAGCCTTGAAGCGCTCTCCGACATTCTTTCAGACGATTACTTCGGGCCATTACTGCACACACTGGTGCTTGGAACGGACCATTTGACTACAGATCTGCCTCTCGAAGATCCTGTACCATTCGAAATGTCGACACAACTAAATACCGCACATACTTAGCTGATCAAAATAATCTTTTAAGCTCCGGCCTTGCTGTTGCATATCTCTCAAGTATATTTTCAAAGGCCAAGAATTGCAAGACTCTCATTATCGACGATGATCATCGAGCGTGGGGCGCGAATTTCCTCAAGCGAGAGACAGGCGTTTACCCTACGACGACTCTCGATTCGCTGGAAAGTCAAGATTTCATCGCGAGTGCCTTTCAGACGATTCTCATAGCACTCACTGCTAGTGGCCTCCGGATCGAAACTTTTCAAGTCTATGCTGGATGCGTGACAGTACCAATCAACCCGGAAATCCTGTCTCCTTGCCCTGTTCTTTGGTTGTCGCCACTCCCTTTCGCTACCAGTCTCACTAATTTGGCGCTTGCCGTGGATTCTGGAGATAACTATGCTCTTGACTCAGAGACCTGGCCGAGTACTCTAACTCAGTTCATTCATTGCTTTCCACGTCTGGAGAAATTGGAGCTCACATTTGAATCTTGAGTGGAGTTGAGATTATTCTATAAAATTAGTTAAGCACTCTCTCTACCATGTCTTCAGACCCTAACTCTATCTGTAATTGACTGTACAGAAGATGATTTAAGCTGGATATTTCAGAAGCACCGAAAATCGCTGCAGGATATCAATCTGGATACAGTCAACATCATTTAGAAAGGCGGCACTTGGAACTCCCTGCTTGCCACTATCAGAAGTTAGATGCAGCTTCGACGCTTATCTATTGAGAATTGTTTTCAGGACGAGGAGGATATCATTGTTCACGGAAATGAGATGATTCCCTCATCTACCAGCCTTCAGTGTCGTCGGTATTTTCGCCCTTAGAGTTCGCTCCGAAACGCTGGGTTCCATATATTTGATCCGGCAGCTAAGCCGAATTCAGGGAAGAAGGCAATCAAACCTTGATTATGTCAACCGGTAATGTGCTCATTTTATGATCTATAGAGTATTTTGGGAGCTCGTTTAGGACTATGCTTAGCGAGGGCTCAAATATAATAATTTATGGCAGAGAAGCCTATTCTTCGGCCGATTTTTCGACTTACTATTCGCCTTTTCACTCTGTTATTATATCAAGATTCAATGGTTCATGAACGATCTCAGTAAACAAGGGAAGAGTAGTGAAGTTCATGACTGTCCAGCATAGAAGAAATGGTAACGGCCCATTCTATATCAAGTGAACTTTGGTCAACCTGGGGTCGTAATCAGCATGCTCCTCAAGACAGAGACGGTGAATAATTATTCCGGCGTCGAGGCGCGCCCGACGATCTCTCGTTATTCTCTCCCAACTACAAACGATGGTACAGCGACATGATGGTTACAAGCAGGCAGCCTAGTTATAATGGCGCTCCCACTTTGCATTCGCCGGCATCTTTCATTCTTAGAAGGAGTTATTGTTCTTTCCTCGCAGTCTTGAACCTGGAGGAACAAGATCTTGCTATCCACATTTTCGACGCAATTATGTTACAGTTTGAGCCTTCCCAGCTAACTGACTGCGGCTATTATCCAGTGACTCTGATTAGACTCATGAGAGTCAGGGAAAAAAATAAAAAAAAAAAAAACCAATTTTTGAGCTTCTTTTTCTCTTTTATTCAGGAAGACTTGCTTGACGAATACAATGAGCAAATTGGCCCTGGCCAGGATTTATCACACCTTGCTCCGTTCCCTCACTTGCCATCTGAGCAGAAAGACACCTTAAGGGAAAGTTTGTTGAATTTACGAAGTACTTGGTGGACAATTTCCTCTTACCCTGTAACTTCCAGTCTTTTCGTGGGTCCAACACGCTTACCATCCTTAGTAAAAGTGTTGGCAGGTAAAACTCCTCAACCTATTGCAGCTCTTTCCCGGTCAACAACCGCTGATGTTGCCATTGGAACTCTTCAACGAATCTCGAACTTATATAAATCCTGCTTTATTCGTGACTGGTACTGATGTGTTATTACTGGGAAGTTCGATGTCCAAGAAGCGTAAACTTGATATAAGAGGGATAGACGCGATGTGAAGAATGACAATGGCAAGCTATTACTTCCTAAATGTGATACTATGGCCTACTTGGAAGTTGCGCATAATCCTCTACTTACTTAACTTATTCACGGGCGACGGAGGTGATAGGAAACTTATAAGAAACATATCATCGCCAATCATCTGTCTATAGCTGACCTCATCAAGACAGAGTCGAAGCAGATTGCCGACAGAGTCTTAACGATATTTAACCCTGGCGCCATCTACTTGATTGATGGCGTTGATATTAATCGACTGATAAACGCGCTCACCTTAACGGTTGATCTTCATAGGTTATTTGGTAACTTTGAAATTCCCTTTGAACCTGTTAGTACCCAGCCGCATACCTACAAAGTCGACTACGTAGAGTCGGGTCGCATGGGCCGCGTTGAAAAGCTTCCTGTCACCGTTGGCCTTTTTCTCACGCCTGATCGTAGTAGACCCGCCTTCTCCTTAACTTCTCGCAATACATAGCGCTATCGGTCGTATCCTTCATCTCAGCACTGCTGGTGGGTATATTAATGATTATATTCGGGACTTAGAGGAGATGAAGGGTGGTAAAGTGATACATGACAGATCTACATATCTTAATTATGTTTGGTTCAGGCTCAGGGAGACGTCTGTTTACTAGAATTATGTTCAAAGCTCCCCAGGCAGAATTATGGTATTGACTCATTGTGATGTAATATTTATAGTTCTCCGCAACTTCAGACCACACATCTAGACCACTTGCTTTTAATAAATCAGCCGAGTGTCTCAAGAGGCTTAAAGGGGTTTCCTTTGCACTATGAGCTTTTCAAATCTTAAAAATATGATGGAAAGCTTTATGGATGACGAAAAATATGCCGACATGACAATATCCTGTCAAGGACATGACTTTAAATGTCACCGCGCTATTATCTGCTCACAATCACCATTCTTTGAAGCTGCTTTGACCGATGGGTTCAAGGTAAGTATAGTCGTGAATCTTTCTACTGAGTCATGATCACATTTAACAAACGCGATCAGGAGACGTCGTTATCACGAGTCGACTTACCATGCGATGATGTTGATACTATTGCCTGCGTCTTGTTGTTCTGTTATTTACAAGACTACAGTCAACCGGATGATTCTGCGAACCTAGCTTTGGAGGAAATATTCCGCAACTATCTTACAGTATATTTAGCCGCAGACAAATTTAGTATGATTCCTCTTCAGGAACTTGCTAGTTCCCAGATCGTCGATTGGGTAAAATTGAATTGGAGCTTGAGGTGTTTCCTGGACACTGTCCAGGATATATAGTGTGATACTCCGTCTTACGAGAATAAACTCCATGATGTGATGGCAGAAATTGTTTCATCTAATATTCAGCATTTCCTATCTCAAGGAAATGGAAAGAAGGTTTTTTCTGAAAATCCCAAATTCTCAATTGCGGTCATTGAAAAACTGTCTCTGGATAACAAGAGATTGAAAGAAGAGAACAAGAATCTGGTTGGACAAAGTAAAACTGATATATAGGGCAGTCATGTTTTGATAGTGCACTGTACTTCGGGCACATTTTACTGTCATTCACCCTTACTCAATTTATATATGTTAATTCCCACTCCCTGCCCTCGCCAGCCTTGTTCATTATCTTGGCCCATAACGCAATTTCTCCCGCAAATCTGCGGGCAACGCCTAGTTCAACACCACCCTCAATGAAAAATGCTGGTTTTATCTCACGATGAATTTGGTTGATATCAAGACAGTTTTTAAGTGCGATGTCTCGCGTCTTTCTAATATTGTCCCTAAATAGATCGGTCTTCACCCGTGGTAAAGCTTTTGCTTTTGGGTGACGCGGCGCTCGTTACGGCCGCAGCAACTGTCCTTCGGAGATGGTTCCATATTTCTGTCTAGATATATCCAACTGACAATTACTTCCCTACGTTCGTAGACCGGTGAAATAAAGATACTTCGGATCATACATTTACTGATTTATAATGAATGTGCCTTTCGGGCATTGGCCGAAGATCTTGTGAGAGAGTATGTACGTTACATCAGAATCGCGGACAACGCCGGGGGCGAAAAGAATATCGTGGGTGGCTAATCAGCTCGGATGGTGACCTGTCAGAGATACTGGTACTCTCTGATTCGCCACTCAATATACTATGTCGGCTGTTGTATGCTGAACGACGGCGTCCTAAATCCTCATGAGGTAGAGTAATCCGGTCCCTGGTACTCTTTATTTGGCTGTAGTAAATGCTTTGTAGAGTATCTTTTTTCCTCTCCGGAAACCGAGTGGCGATCTCATTCCACGTATAACTATTGTCCCTCAGTGTAATTAGCTTTCGCTTCTTAGTAGGTGACAGTGGTCTGTGCCTTGCAGAGGACCATATTTGGTTTGATCTTTTTCGAATTTCCGCAGAATGGATTGGCACCGCCGAATCACGCGTTTGTCTATTGGCTGAAGGCGACTCAACATTTCCCTGAGAAAGTGTCAAGATCTGAAACAGCTGGCCATCGACTATCCGGAGAGTTGAATAGCTAATGGCGATTGGAAGACGTTCAGCTTTGCGGATATTGATAGATAGTGTTGTCCCGCTCAAACACCACGGATAATGAGGATTAAAAAAAGGGATTGGACTAGTGTTTTCCGGGTGGAGACCGTCATATTGAGGGGTGAGTCTTGCTGACCCATTGTCTTTGTCGATTTTCTTTGGATTATGTATTTCCACATGCGAAAATACGAGTTGTTTGTTCCGCGTCCGGTGGGAGTGCAGAGTAGGTTCTGTTGAATTGGGGTCATCGGTTGATTGCGTATGATTTGGTATGGTGATACGCTCAATTTGGTCCGTCTCTAGGTCTGTGTCGAACTCTGTTCCGGCCCTTTGGGGAAATTGGTGTATTGTAGAATCTTCAGGGACTTCATCGGAGGTAATCTCATCATTGTGATATATGTTTCGTCCTGGATGCGCATAACCAGGAGATTCGGAACGATCATGTCGATCTAGCCTTGTGGTACAAGTAATGTTCGTTTCTTTCTTCGATGATATAGATGACTGAATTTCGACCATAGTATCCTGGCAGGCTGTAGAGCGTAGGTCGATAAACTGATACTCTTCGGGGGTCTCGTCCAATAGACCGCCTTCGGCATCATTCACAAGAGAAAGACCCGCGCAAGGAAACCCGGGCGAAGGCGGGCTGTTGGCTAGCATTGAGTTCCTGTTTTCAGACCATATTCTCCCGTTCTCTGACTCTGATTCGGTTGGTGCTGAGCCATCCACTAACGAGTTTTGTATAAACTTGACGTGCTCCAAATCTCCTAAAGACTCTTTACATACAATTCCGTCGGTTAGCATGTATATAGGTAAAAATGAAGGAAAGTGAAGGTAAAGCGAAAGTTCCCTTTTAGACTTACGTTCAAACGGATAATCCAGCTGCATGGAATCATCCCTTTTTTGCTGCGCCTTATCTGGTCTCAAACAATACTGTGTATCAAGGGCTCTGTCCGTGGAGAGACTCAAGTCTATAGTATTGCTATTGGTGCTTTGTTGACTGTCACGTGTCGAAGTAAGATCACGAGAATGTGTTCTGGACAGCGGTTGTAGAGAGGCAGGTGGAGACCTTGAGCCGTTGACCGAATTCTGTCGAGGCTCTAGTTCTTCGTTGAAGCCGTGGACGGAAGTCGGATCCTCATTGTTACCGATGTTTCCTTGTGGGAAGATACTTTGCTCGATGGTAGGAACGGACCCTTCCGTTGGTAGCGGTATGGCATGTTTAACAGACAAGACTGAACTGAGATGATGATGATCGATCCCGTCAGACGAGAGATGGCTAACTTCGCGCAAATCATATTCCGAGGAATCCGAGCTACAAGCATACTCTGTGTCCGGTGAAACGGGATGGCTCGCAAGGGAGTCGAGTCCATTCGATTGCATACCGCACAAGTTAGGGGTGGATACCCATGTGTATTGGGCGTCTGCGCGGTATTAGCAGTCCACTCCGGAGCATCATTTTTTTCTTCGAATGAGGTGCAAACCATACCGGAAGGGCGTTTGTATGCCATACTGTCGCAAGTAGAGTCACCACTACTTGCAGAGGAAGAGATATTATCGGAAGCCGCTATCCTGTTACTGTATAAACATTCCTCGTCTCTCTCTGCTTTGCCCGGCTCGGACGTAGAATCCCACGTTAAGTGCTGGCTGAATCGCTCCTTCCTAGAGAAACGAGATGGGTTGGAATCGGGTTTGTAAAAAAGAAAGGCGCTCATGCTGTCTGGTCTTGTAGATTTGACAGAAGGAAACAGGTATAGTAGAGAATATAATGGAATTGTTGTGATCAAGAGAATTGGAATGGGAGCTCGTATCTTTAAGTATGCTTCTCATAGACGGAAGGCCAACTAACCGCACCCCTATCCAAGTTCCTACGGACTAACACCAATTAAGCTGCGCGAGGGCAACTCACCAACTGCAGTATCGAAGGAAGCCAAGTGCTAGATTGCGTGATCATACGGATCCCGCTTAATCTCGTTGCGCAGCCAACTAGGTCAAGCCATATCTTTACCTCTACATCCAAATATGGTCAAACCTCAAAGGACGCCCAGGTGTAAGCCGGCTGAAGGCGCCTTCCGGCCGATACCACAACCAGGTGAGGCAATTCCATGCGGGTCCTAACTCGAATACGCAAGGGCATATTTCGCGGTCAACTGTCAGCCGACGCACAAGCAGCCACCGCATCATGGTTAAGCCATTAGACCGAGCATGGCCGAATTAGGATATCGACAAAAGAAGTTATGGGGCTTGGAAGGGGGTCAGGCCAAAACCTTGACTGTATTGTTTCGCTTGGGGCGGCAATGCAACCAAAATCGGATGCCGGATAGTGAACTCTCGTCCGGTCAGCCTACCTAGGAGCGCCGCAAGCGGAGGTCGCTGAAATCATCTAAATAGGGGAACTTCGGGCTAGATGCCAGCCTACTCTGCTCCGGAACCATGCCAAAGAAAGCGAAAGTGGGCTGGTTCCACTGGCCGACATAGCCTCCAGATAGATCCGATAGGTATACCGAGGCGAGTGAGCAGATTGCGAGTTAACCTTGTGACCAAGTGGAAGTCCACTTAACAAACTTTTGGAAGATTCCCTGTCCAAACGGGGAAAGCACGGAAATTAGCATGGCCGCAGTCTCATTCCAGCCATCCAATAGCATGATCGGCCCCCCGACGGAGCCCGCCTAGAGAGCACACCTGCAGGAATTACAGAGGATCGATGTTTCGCTGTCTCGTCAGCAGGTGAGGAATCTGGCCTTCGACGACTTCGCCAAAGAAATGAAACCTAATCACCTGTGAGCAGGCTGAAGCCGATTGAATGCGGACCTCGGAGAAGGGGCCAAGCGAATGTAACCATGATTAAATCGCGCATACTGACTTGGTTCCCAGTCCAAAGCCTGGCCAACATTCAAGCGGGTCTCAATTTTCCAGCAAGAGCTGTAAGGCATAACTTCAAAAATAGTCTGGCTGCGGGGTGGGATGACTTCCGGCCACCCGAACAAAACTGCTGTCCCGACAGTTATGATGCTCAGTCTATGTAATATCAGAGAAGAGCAGTACCGGAAGCCATGTTGAAGCTGTGTTCTCAGCGACAGAGGGACGGCCGGGACTGGGCGTAGGAAGACAATGACCACCGGTGTAGAACGCGCGAGATTCGTATAGGAATCCGTCCAGCGGCCAGCCCGGCGCCAGCCTGGACTAAGGCCTCAGCATGCAGGCGGGCGATGAGGGTAGGGGGCTGTGTGATCGCAAGGTGGGTTAGCTGAGGGGAAGAGAAAACAACGCCGCTGAGGAGACGGCTGAGGTCGGACTCTCAGCGAGCGGGCGACGGATAGTTGTAAAACAGGACGATACGGATACACGAGGCCACGGACAACGGGCTTTATAGCGGCACGGGGCCGGGCGGTGAGGGGCGGCACTTCCGGGTTGGGCGAGGCCGTTTCCGGATGCGGCGGCCCCTAAAGGCAAATTACTATTAGTATTATAATATATTTATCCACTTAACTAAAATTTATGTTTTATATAATATTCTAGTACGTACTTATTTAATATATATTACATTCTTTTTATCCCTGAAGGACTAGAATATATAACTAATCTTTATTATAGTCTATATAGTTTATACGTACTAAAACTATCTAATATACACTGTTACCGTAGATTAGATTAATACTATCTTATAACTTATTTCTAGCACTAAAGATTTTATACTATTAAATAAATTTAAAGATTTTATAAATATTTTCTTATCTAAGGAAGTAGAGAAACTTTCTTTTTATTATAATTATAACTATATTATTACTTTAGAAAAGAGAAGGACTCTCTTATTTAATCTTTTATATAGTATATCTCGGGATAAATTATAAACTCTCTATAAATAGTTATTTAAGAATTTAAAAAAAAGTTTTATTTATCTAAGCTTATTATCTGTTATCTTACCAATCTTATTTATTAAAAAGTCTAGAGGAGGACTCAGATTCTGTATAAATTATTATATTTTAAATATAATCTTTATTAAAAACTACTATCTATTCCTACTTATAAAAAAAACTCTAAATAATCTAAAAAGAATGTGCTACTTCACTAAAATTAATATTATTAATATTTTTAATAATATCTAAATTGTTAAAGAATAGGAATAGCTAATAATATTCTATATCTATTTTAATTTATATAAATTATTAGTAATGCTATTTAGGCTAATAAAAGCTCTAACCATCTTTTAATATTATATTAATAATATACTTTAAGACTATCTAGATATCTTTTATATAGTATATTTGGATGATATCTTAATTTATAGCTATATTTAAATAAAGTATATAGAGTATGTCTGGTTAGTTCTTATAAAATTATATAAAATTAGATTCTTTATTAAAATATTAAAATATAAGTTTATTATTCCTGAGATTAAGTTCTTAGACCTAATTATAGGCTGTAATAGATTCCATATAGATCTAGAAAAAATTAAGACTATTACTGAATAGTTTATTTCAGCTTATGTAATAGATATGTAAGTTTTTTTAAAATTTAATAATTTTTACTACTACTTTATTTATAATTTCTTGAAATTTACTATTTTTCTTATATAATTTATAAAAAAAGATATCTCCTTTATCTAGACTCTTATATATTAGGATGCTTTAAATTATTTAAAGAAAGTTTTTATAGAAGCTCCAGTACTTTAACTATTTATTTAAATCTGAGAAATAATACTAAAAATTAATATCTTAGATTATGTTTCCACCAGAGTTTTGTTCTAATATAATAAAGATAAATTATTATATTTTATAGTCTTCTTCTCTAAAAAATATTTTCTAATTAAATGTAATTATAAAATCTATAATAAAGAATTACTTATAATTATTTGTTGCTTTGAAAAATAGTACTTTAAACTTAAAAAAATTTTATCTCTAATTTAGATTATTATTGATTATTATAATCTAGAATATTTTATATTAACTAAACTTTTAAATTACTATCAAGCTTAATAATTAGAATTTTTATTTTATTTTAACTTTAAGATTATATACTGATCTAGGTACTATAGAACTAAGCCTAATAGTTTAATTAGAAAGTTAAAAAATTTTTTAAAAGAGAAGAATAAATAATTACTACACTAGAGTTAGACTATATTAAAATAAAAGAATTTAGATTCTGCTTACTTACTTATCTAGATTAAGAAGGACTCTAAACTTGGAACAGCTAAGAAAGATCCTAGATTTAGTAAATATAGAATATTTTTAGATTTTAAATAACTATCTATATAAAAAGAATTTAAAAAAGATTTTTTAAAAACACCCTAGCCCTGATAATCTAATCTTAAAATAGTATTATTTTTAAAAATAAATAAGATTTATTATTATTACTAGAAATCTAAAATATTTTACAAGACGCGTATGAGAAAGATAAATAAGTATAAGATATACTAAAAATACTAGTAATTAGTAAAGACTACTATCTAGATATCTCTCTAGTCTTTTATAAGAGAAGGAAAGATTTACTATTTTATAAAAATTATTTTTAGATCTCTGACTATAATAATTTAAAAATTAAATTAATCTGATTAGTGTATGATAAATTATCCTTAGGATATCTTAGAAAATCTTATATATATAAATTCCTAGCTTGAGAATATTATTAGCCTAATCTCTACCACTATATAGAATAATGGATGAAGAATTATTATATTTATTACTATATTATTCTATTTTAAAAAGTTAAATAAAATATTCTGAAATCTCTATTAGTCCCTAAGCATGCTTAGTAAGATATATTTATAAATTTTATTATATATCTACCTAAGAGCCAAGGGCATAATATTATATTAATAATTATTAATAGATTTACTAAAATAAAATATTTGATACTCTGTAATTCTATTACTAACGTTACTAAAGTAGCTATAATATATATATAGTATATATAGAAGCTATATAATCTTCTCTATTTTATAGTTTTTAACTAAGGTTTCTAATTTATAGTTAAATTTTAAAAGTACCTGACCCAATGCCTGGATATTATTAATTAATTATCAATTACTTATTATTCTAAGACTGATAATTAGATAGAATGGGTGAATGCTATATTAAAATAATATCTCTATATTTATATAAATTATTTATAAAATAATTAGAGTACTTAGCTTCCCTTGGCTAAGTTTACTTTAAATACTATATATTCTAATATTATTAAAACTATACTATTCTTTACTAACTACAGTTTTTATCTATAAATAAGATTTAAACTTATACTTATCTCTAATTAATTTACTACTAAAGATATAGAGTAATTTATTGTAAAAATATATACTATTATAGAATTTATAAGAATTAAGATGGCTGTAGCCCAAGCTAAATATATAAAATAAATTAATAAGAGATATTATTCCAGCCAGAGATTCTGAAAAAATTAGAAAGTTTAGTTAGATATTTGATTTATTAAAATCCTACGACTTAGCAAGAAACTTGACTAGAATATTTTAGGCTTATATTTGATTAAAGAAGTTATTAGTTTCTATACATACCGTTTAAAACTTCTGCTAAGTATGAAGATTTATCTAGTATTTAATATAAGCTTATTTATTCCTATTAATAATGATTTATTATCTAGATAATATTAGTCCCTTTCCCTTCATATCAAGATCAACGGACTTGAGGAATGGGAGGTTGAAGATATATTAGATTTTTTTTAGGATTGTTGGGAACGAGGCTATTTTTAACTAGTATATTTTATTAAGTAAATAGGATATATTAATCCTACTACTAAATCTACGGAATATCTAAAGAATATCTATTAGATTATTAAGAACTTCCATCGCTGCTATTTATATAAATCCTGACCTTTGTCTCATAGAAGCTTAGCTTAAAAAAAAAGGGAGTACTGTTATGGTATAACCTTCTAAACTAGAAAGAGAGGAATATTATTAAGATTTATTATTCTAGTACGTGATTCTAGATACGGTTAAAAGCCATCTACCTTTTGAACCCTGTTTGTAGCTTCGAGCTACGTCTTGTCTATTACTCTATATATAGCTTGACTAGTAGCCAGCTCAGTATCCAGTTAGAATCCTAGTTATTGTTATTATCCGAGTCCTGCCTGCCCGCCAGAACCTACTATCCTACCACCCCTGCCTGCCCGCACCTTGACACTATGTACTAATTTATGATTTTAATTTATTTATTAATTTAAGAATAGTATACTATTAAAAGCTTAAGCTTTACCTATAGTATATAATACAACTTATTCTAGAACTTTGATACGAACTGTCCTTCTTAGTTTAATATAATTATATTTAAAAATCCTGACCAAAAGTACACGCGCTCTAAAAAAAACTAAGTTATATCTTATATAGATATAGTCTTTGTATATAATATTAAAGTAATTTACTTACTTAACTAGTCTATTATAATAAATATAGTATTAAAATTATGATAATTCTTTAGGAATATCTGAAAGTTTATTAATAAATATTATCCCAGATAGTCTAGGATTAGTAAAGATTATAGAAATTTTAGAGAAAAATTCCATCTTATATTCTTCCATTTATAGATTAAATAGTTATCTAGATAATAATATATGTTTTAATTCTAAATATTTTAATAATATTAATTTCATAAGATCTAGTATCTTTATTCAACCTGGATAAGTGAATAATAGTTAACAATAGATTTTATTTAATAATTAGATATATAAATCCCTATTATACAAGACTATTAATAAATCATTAAAAAGTAGAAATTTATTTTTTAGGATATATCCTTCTTTACCACAATAGGTTCTTTCCTAGTAAAGCTTTAGGGAGGGGTAGTTTTAATTAACTATTAAAAATTAATCTATAATCTATAAATATTTCTATACAGGGGTAAGGACTATTAATAATTTAGAAATTAATAAATAAAAATATATTTTATTCTCCAAGTACTCTAGAAGTAATAGGATTTACTTGTGGTATTATGTTAAGACTTATTTATTATTATTTTTATAGATTAATATATCTACTAAAATATTATACTTCCCAAGATAGAATTAGATTAAGAAGTAGTATTAAGAAAGAAACTCGGCCTACTATATTTAACGGGTGTTTAATCTCTTAGTGGTCATGAAATACTCTAAGGCTTAGTGGTTAATTAGGATACTAAAATAGTCTATATACTGGAGTCCTTCTAACTCCAGTCACTATTTTTTTAAAGCGCGAATAATTATTAGTAGTTTTTTATTATAAATATTATAGTTATATTCTACAGAAAACATAGTTTTAGAATAATAAGCCACTAAGTATTAGGCCCTATTTACTAGTTATAAGAGTACTCCTATAATAACTCCGTTAGTAGTGTCTGTCTTATGTGACGGCGGCTCTGTTTAGAAGCACGTGACTATGTTTGTTTTGTTTGTTTTACTGTCGTTTGCTGTTGTTTTCTTCAAGTAAGTACTTATAATATTTCTTATTTTCCTTTTTTCCTCCTTATGCTTAAAATTCTAGAGTAGTTAGTATTAATATGACCTCATTTTACTATATTAAACAGCTATCTTATAACTTTAAGTATTATTCTTTATTCCTTTTCTACTATTATATATAGCTAGTTCTTGTTAAGCTGTTAGCAATCTCTACCTCATATTCTTAATAATGTTTAACGGCTAAAAGACCTACCCAACTGAATAAATAAATGAAATAGCTAGAGAAAGTAGCTAGACTTCTAGTCTTAAGAATAACTAATAACTTTCCGCGATACTGCCTGATAAATTAGACTGAGAAGATAGGTTTAATTAAGCTAAATTTAATAATTGATATAAAAGAGATCTGAAACAAATTTTTAAAATCTTTTTAAAAATTTTTAATACTTTGGAGACTGAAAGAGACAATCTTCTTAATAAGTAAGACTAATAAAATTAGAAGATAACTATTTTTATTTAAGAATAGAATAATATTACTAAAGAATAGGATGACACTGCTAGAAAATAAGATATCTTTATAATATAAGTTATCTATTAGGTCTTAATTAATTTCTAAAATATAATTATTTCTAAATCTAAGAGAATAATAAAGATCCCTGATCTATCTCTATTTAGTGATAGAAAGAATATTTTTTTTAAAGACTGGATACTAGCTATGTGTTAAAAACTAGAAACTAATATAGATTAATTTACTACTTTAGTAGTATATAAAGCTTATATTACTAGCCGTTGTGAGGGTGATATAAGAAAATATTTAATATTTAAATTTTATCTAAATATAATTAATCCTTATAATAATGCTGAGGATATATTAGAATATCTAGAAACTATTTTTATTAACTTTTATAAGATTTATAATGTTTACTGCCAGTACCAGGACTTATATATAAAGATTAAAAAAAAGTTTTATATTTTTATTTTTATTTTCTATTATCTCGCAGTGGAAGCTAGAATTAGTGAAGACTTTTAAAAAAAAGATTTATATAATAAACTACTTTCTAAGCTAAAGAAATCTATTATATATAGCTTTAATAACAAGTGTTATTCCTTTGATGATTATGTGGAGGAGTGTATAAACTCTATTAATTTAATTAAAGATTTAATAAAGAATTATATTAGAAGTAATACTATTACTATTAATAATTATAGTAAATTTTATAATCTTTATACTTCCTCTAGCATCCTAAACTCTGAGAATATTGTTTTTAAGGCTTTAACTCGTGCTTTGAGTATGGAGCTAGAGACTAAGAAAATTTTAATAAAAGATAAAAAATATTTTTACTATAAAGAGTCCGGCTATAGGAGTAGAGAATATCTTAAAAAGAAAATTATATAAGTAAAGACTCTAGAAGCTCCCACAAAGAAACTTAAATTAATAAAAAATAATATTTAGGAAAAATCTCTATTCTAGATAAATTAGAAGCTTAAATAAGTATAATAAATTTATAAGATTTACTAAAAAATAATAGTGATAGTTTTATAATTACTATTTTATTTTTTAAAAATAGTATTACTATTCTTATTTATACGCTTGCTGATTCTGGAGTTAATATCTATTTAATAATAAATATTTAGTTTATTATTAAATTAATCTAATATTTTAAAAATTTAATATTATTTTTAAAAAAGGTAATTCTAGTCATAGGTTTTAATAGAAAATAGACTACTAATTTAATATATATAATCTAATTAAATCTTATAATTAATGGCTACTAATTTCTGAATATTCTCTTTCTTATATTAGATTTAGGAAGGTATGATGCTATTCTTAAAAAAATATAATTTACTAAATATAATATCTTATTAGATTATTAAAATTGCTGATTAATCTAATTAAGCTAATTAATATTAAAAAATAAAATAAAAACTAGATTTTTTATAAATATTCTCCAGACCATTCTGGAGTAATCTTTAGTAAATTATAAATATTAATAAGATATAACCTAGAGAGATTATAAGATATAGTTAGAAAATGAATAATTAAAGTTTTTATAACTATTATTAATTCTTTTCTATATTAATTAAAGTAGCCTATACAAAGCCCTAGTAAAGATAAAATATAATCTAGTTAGAGAGAATTACTAGTATTATCTCTTCTTTAGAATCCCGAAGCCCAAATTAAAGTCTATTCTAATTAAATTTTTCTATAAAGAGATAGCTCTTATTAAAATAGCTAGTTTCTAATAATATTTAAAGAATTTAAAGATAAAGATTTTTATTATCTTATTTAACACTATTAAGAAGGCTTTTATAGAGAAACTAGAGATTCTACATATAAATAAGAAAGATAAGATTAAGAGAATTTTTTTTAAGTAATACTATAATTTAATAAATATTTTTTTAAAAAAGAAATCTGATATGCTACCTCTATTTTAATATTATAATTATAAGATTTAACTAGAGAGTAAGAACTCTCTAAACACTACTTTTTTCTATAAAATAATAATAGAAGAATTACAGGCTTTCTATAATTATATTATAGAGAATTTAAATAAAAGATTTATTATACTAAGCTCCGTACTTTTTATATTTTCTATTCTAATAGTTTGAAAGCCAGGAGGAGGCCTCTACTTTTATATAAATTATTAAAAATTAAATATTTTAATTAAGAAGAACCTGTACTTCTTATCTCTTATTAATAAAATAATAAACTGCCTATATAATATAAAAATCTTTATAAAACTTAATATATATTAAAGCTTCTATTGGATTAGAATAAATCCTATTTTAAAAAATCTTATAATCTTTAAAATGTGATATAACCTATTCAAGTATTAAATTCTTTTATTTAAATTTATTAATAGACCTGCTATCTTCCAACAGCTTATTAATAAAGTTTTGATGGAGTACTTAGATAAGTTTATAATAATTTATATTAATGATATATTAATTTATAGTAATAATATAATTAAATATAAATTATATATATATTTAGTACTTAAAAAGTTACAAGCTACAGACTTATAAATTATTATTTATAAATATAAGTTCTATATTATAAAGATTAAGTTCCTAGGATTTATTATTGCTATTGATAGTATTTAGATAAATTTAATAAAAATTACTATTATTATTAAATAAATAATTTTAATAATTATATAGGAAATTTAATTATTTTTAAACTTTTATAACTTTTATTAAAGATTTATTAAAACTTATAGTAGAATAGCACAGCCTCTAATATAACTAATCTAAAAAAATATTACTTTTAACTAAGATTATATTTATATTAAAACTTTCAAGATATTTAAAGAGATATTAATCTTAGTCTCTATTCTAGCTTACTATAATTCTATACTCTCTACTTATATTAAGATGGATATTACTAATAGAGTTATTATAGAGATATTCTTATAGTTAGTAGACAGGGCTTAATATCCAGTAATTTATTATTTTAAAATTATATCTTTTACAGAATATAACTATAATATTTATAATAAAGAGCTACTAACAATCATTCATGTTTTAAAGAAATAGTGATTAGAGTTAAAAGAACTCTAATATATAAATTATTTTAATATCCTGATTAATTATTAAACCTTAGAGTATTTTATAACTACTAAGAGACTAAATATTTATTAGGTATAGTAAGCCGAGTTCCTCTTCTAATATTATTTTTTAATCTAATTTTATCCTGGGAAACATAATACCTTAGTAAATATATTAATTTATAAAAATAGTAGTAAGTAAGTTTTAATATAGTACCATGAGTAAATCCTATTACTTCTAGAGTATTTAGAGGATGGAATATATCCTTTCTTAACTATTTTTATTCTTATATAAGAATATCTATAGGTTATAGATTGATTTCTAGTAGCTAATTAGAATTACTTCTTCTTAAAGCCTTGCTAGAAACGAGCCTGCTATAATAAAAAAAATATATCTTAAAAAATAGATTTATATTCTTTAATAATCTACTAGTAGTCTTAGATAATGGGGATCTATATACTTAATTATTAGATAAGATCTATTATTAACTATTATTTATATACTTAGGTTAAATAAAGATGCTAGGTCTTATGAAATATTAATATTATTAAGATACTTGGAATTAAGATATATATTATTATTTAAATAATTATTTAATTTGTAAGTAAAAAAATATAAAATAGGATTTTTCTCTAGAATTTTTATAATTTTTACTAATTTTAAACTACCTAGGATAGTATCTATTAATAGATTTTTAAATATTTCTAAAGAACTGCTATAGTTTTAATATTATATTTATTATAGTAGACTGCCTGAGTAAGTAAGTTACTTTAATATTATATATAAAGACTATATTTATATAAGATATGGTCTAGTTTTTCTTAAAGCACGTATATCTTTGGTCAGAGTCTCTAGATATAATTATATCAGATTAAGAAGGACAATTTGTGTTAGAATTCTAGAATAAGTTATATTATATATTATAAGTAAAGTTTAAGCTTTTAATAGTATATTATTTTTAAATGGATGGATAAATTAAAATTATTAATTAATATATAGTATAAAAACTTATTTTTTTTATAAACTATTATTAAGATAATTAGTTAGAACTCTTACTATTAATTGATTTTATTTTTATAGTTCTATTCTAGAAATCTACAGGACTATCATCTTTTATGATTAAATAAGAATATAAGTTTTATATTTTTTTAACTAGATACTTTTCTAAACTTCTATTATAGATACTATTAACTAATAGTAAGTCTGAGCCCTGGCCTGCTGTATAGAATAGATATAAAAATTAATAAAGAAGAATATATAAACTATCTAATAAATTTAGACTTATATAGCTAACTGATAGTATTAACTTGTGAATTTTAACGTTAGAAATAAGATTTATATAAATACTAAAAACTAGTACTGGGATTAACTATTTTAGAAGTTATTAAAAAACTAGTATAGCCCAGTAATTATTATTGAAAAGATTAATTATATATTCTAAGTTTAATTATCTAATAGTATAAAAGTTTATTTTATCTTCTATCTTAATAAACTCTATTTTTATGGTACTTTAGAACTACTGCCTAGATAAATCTTAGACTAGGCTTCTTTAATTAAAGTTAATAATTATATTAAATGGGAGGTAGAATAGATCTTAGAGAGCTATCTGTAGATAGGAGTATTATAATACTATATTAAATAGATAGGCTTTAATAAGAATGATTGTACATGGTACTCTACTAATAATTTTAAAAATATACTATTCTATCTATGTAACTTTTATATCTGCTATCTAAACTATTCTAGATTATTTATATAATTCTCCATATAAATTACTGTAGTAGAGAATGATAAGTTTACTATAAATTATAAAAATAATAATATTTCTTTGACTGAGGGCAGTCAGGCCTAAACAGAGAGATAATATAATAATAGCTCTATTTAAAAGTACATGACTATATTTATTTTATTTATTTTACTATTATTTGCTGTTATTTTCTTCAAGTAAGCATCTATAATACTTCTTATTTTCCTTTTTTCTTCCTTATACTTAAAGTTCTAGAGTAGTTAGCACCAATATGACCTCATTTTGCTGTGTTGAACGGCCGTCTCATCTTAACATAAATAGAAAGTATAGGATTATAATAAATTAAAATAAGGATTAAGATTAATATCTCCTTAAGTATTTTAAAAGCTTTAGTATAGATATGATTCTAGTTAAAAATAATATTTTTTCAGGTTAGTTATATTAAAGACTATATTATTTTACTATAGACTCTAATAAATTTTTAATAGAAGTTATAAAAGCTTAAAAATAATTAAATTCCTTGTATAGTTATTGGGATCACCTATTTAATAATAATAATAATTTTTATTAGGTTTACCTGGATACTATTAGTAGTAATAATAAATCTTAAGAACTTAGTCTTTATAATATAGAACTTATACTTATAAATAATAGCCTGTAAGCCTGTAGCTCGTAATTTCTTAAATATTAAATATACGTGTAGTTTATATTCAGCTATATTATTACTATAAATTAATATATTATTAATATAAGCTATTATAATCTTATTTAAGTACTCTATTAAGATTTTATTAATAAGCTATTGGAAGGTAGCGGGTCCATTAATAAATTTAAATAAAAGAATTTAATACTTGAATAAATTATGTCGCGTTTTAAAGATTATAAGATTTTTTAAAATAGGGTCTATTTTGATCCAGTAGAAGCTTTAATATATATTAAATTTTATAAAGATTTTTATATTACGCAGGCGGTTTATTATCTCATTAATAAAAAATAAGGAATATGGGTTTTTCTTAATTAAAATATTTAGTTTTTAATAGTTTATATAGAAGTAGAGGCCTCCTTTAAACTTTCAGACTATTAGAATAGGAAATATAAAGAGTATAGAGTTTAGTATAATAAATCTTTTATCTAGATTTTCTATAATATAATTATAGAAGGCCTATAATTTTTTTATTATTATTTTATAGAAAGAAGTAATATCCAGAGGATTCTCATTCTTTAATTAAATTTTATAGTTATAATATTAAGATGGAGGTAACATATTAGATTTTTTTTTTAAAAAGATATCTATTAAATTATAGTATTACTTAGAAAGAATTTTTTTAATTTTATTCTTTTTACTTGTACGTGGAACCTCCAGTTTCTCTATAAAAATTTTTTTAATAATATTAAGTGAGGTAATAAAAATCTTTATCTTTAAATTTTTTAGATATTGTTGGAAGTTGGCTACTCTAATAAAAGTTATCTCTCTATAGAAAAATCTAATTAGGGTGGGCTTCGGTTCAGGCTTTAAAATTTTAAAAGAAAAATAATATTAATAATTTTTTTTAATTAGATTATATTTTATTTTTATTAGAGCCTCGCATAGGCTACTTTAATTAATATAGAAGAAAATTAATAGTAATTATAAAAATTTTAATTATTTATTTTTTAATTATATCTTATAATCTCTCTAGACTATATTTTATTAATATTTATAATCTACTAGAGACTGCTCCAGGATGATCTAAGAAATATTTATAAAAAATTTAGTTTTTATTTTATTTTTTAGTATTAACTAGCTTAGCTAGATTAATCAGTAATTTTAATAATTTAGTAAAATATTATATTTAATAAATTATATTTTTTTAAGGATAGTATCATGCCTTCTTAGGTCTAATATAAGAAAGAAAGTATTTAGAAATTAATAGCTATTAATTATAAGATTAAATTAGATTATATATATTAAATTAGTAGTCTATTTTCTATTAAAACCTATAATAAGGATTGCCTTCTTTAAAGGCAGTATTAGAATTTTAAAGTATTAGATTAATTTAATAATAAACTAAGTATTTATTATTAAGTAGATATTAGCTCTGGAATCAGCAAGTATATAAGTAAAGATAATAATACTATCTTTAAAAAATAGAATAGTAATTATAAAACTATTATTATTATTTTTTAGTAAATTTTATAAATTTATTATGCTTACTTAAGTTTCCAGCTCGTTTAGAATAAAGACTTTTCTTAAATATTATTTTTTATTAATTTAGATTTTTCTATAGAAATTTTTAGAGCCTTGACCTATATAATCTTTTTTTTAAAATATTCT